TCCTCGTACAGTTCGCGGAGACAGACATTTTTCATTTTCAATCTCAGGGGTTGAACAGAGCTACACATGGGCTTAGTACCGTTAGATAGTTTTTACGATTTCGGACACAAATTGTTCGGGCTATTTTTGAATATGTGGTCAACGCCGTGGACATATCAACTCATCGATGTGTGCGGACGATTAGACGATTAAAAGCAAGGCGAATCGCCTAGACTACATCTGGAATAAAAATACTAAGTTGAACCAACTCGCTTTAGAACACCATCCGGTCATTGGTCACCACCTATAACGACATAGTGACATTAAATGATACCTTTGGTGATGAAAGTACTTACAATCGTGAGGAAGAGACGGCGGGAAAATGTGATATGACATTGTCAGATAACGCATCTATCGAGTGCAGTGTGACGACAGGCGAGAAAATGAATCAACTAAGTTAAATCATGGCTGTTTGTTGCTTAAATGCCTCTTAGAACTCATACAGCTGCAATGCGGCACTGCCACTGAAAGTGCTTAGAGCCGAAAGTTATACCTCATGTGATTACACTGCGATGGGAGCAATGACCATACCTCCGAAGATTACATTGCACTCGGGACAAAATTCCGCTTACGTCGATCTGCTGTGATAATTGCAAAATGTTATTTGAATGTCAGAGGGTAATACTGCCGCAAGACATTTGACAATGCAAGGATTGACTACGACGGTACATTTGGTTAGATTGACATTAGATAGTGTCTTAAAATATTGCATTTGCTTTGTTAACTGCTCGTTAAGCCAGACTTCTCCCAGATTCTTGCCAGTCATCTTATCGGTGACCTTGTATGAGCTAGAGTCAAATAGCTCATGGTATGTCGGGAATGTATGCTATGTACGGTCATGCAAGTTTCCTGTAGATATATTAAACTGCCGTGCGGCTGACCTGGAAAAATGTCATAGCATGGCCACAGTCTCTGCCAGCGCGAGATTCGACCATTTCTAAGTGGATGTTGTTAGTTCATAATGAATGACTGTGCCCAGAAAGCATGGGTGCATCTGAACTGAGCAACCAGCAGACACTTATGCATATACATATATGCAATATTCTTTGGGTTCTCACTGAAAAGCTTAAGAGCAGACGATCGAAATGCACTGTTAGGTGTCCTCGCCTAATTTCTAGGGTGGTTTCTTATCACAGTTCGCCCTCTGCTCCTCAGATTTGCCCGCAACAAGCAGCTGCCGTCGGTGGCACTGATGTCACTGCCTGGAAGTGGCGCCACCTGGCTGCGCTACTTGATAGAGGGCGCCACCGGCGTGTTTACCGGGAGCGTTCATCACGACATGGAGCTCTTCAGCAGAGGTTTCCAATCGTATAATCATATCTGGTGCTATGCATGCGTTGCGGCAGCGTAAGTGGCATGACTGCCAGCAGGCCAACGCAATGGTGCGTCATGATAGGCTGTTGTTCCCGCCATAAACATCATAGGCAAGATCTGGAGCTCTAAGCAAGCTCAGTCTAGTTGCAAGGAGCGATTAGGATGTGCATATAGGTTGAAGTCTCACTGTTTGTCCAGGATTAATGCTGTTCGAGCAAAATACTTTTTATGAATGAATATAGTGCAGTCTCATCGTCTCGGGCAGTTACCGTACTGGGTGATCCTGAACGGGTGTCACCGTGCTTTTAAGACCAAAACCATTCCGGACTCGCCTTCAACGACCGGCAACGCGTTCATAGATTTAGCGGAAGCGAACAATTTCTCGACCTGACCCACCACGAACCGGCTGGCAGGATTTCTCGGTGAGCTGACTGATGAGACAGATGGCAGCACCATCGTCCAGCAGACCCACCGCGGTCCGCATGTCGGCGCTGGGCGGGACAGTAACAGAGACCCGGTGAACTTTGAGCTCAAGGCTGAGAAGGTACTTCGGGAGCGATTGGCAGGGAGTCTCGTGCAGTGTTCAGCTGTTTAGAATGCAATCTAACAATCATTATTTTATATAATATAGCAATCCTTGTATTTTCCACAACCTAACCTGTTTCTAGTTATTTATGCAATGGCGTCTTTAACGTTCGAAGCACTTTGATCGTTCTCGCTCTTGATGAAACACCTTTTAATTCAGAAGTCGTATGTATTAGATGTGATGAAAGACCATTCAGACGTATGCTGTCCCTTCGATTTTCCCCCGATTTCAAGATGGAACAAAAACCAGCCAGCGTCTGGCGCGTAAGCAAGGTACGTGCGCTCAACAAAACGCGTACAAGAAGCGTCCGACAAGCGGGTGGCAGGTCGCAGTTTCACGTTCCTCTACCAGGTGGTTCTGCTGATGAGGAACCCATACCGTGCGCTGCTGCAAGCGCGCAGTCTGGAGGCCGGCATGCGGGATGACATGGCCTCCTCCCACCTCTTCCGCGGCAGCGGCTGGGCCCGGTTCGTCCGGGTGCAGCTACAACAATGGAATTTCAGAGTACAACTCTCCCTGGAAATATCAGAACAGGTGCACATCGTGCACTACGAGGATCTGCAGGTCAGACACGTGCTTGAATAATAATTCCTGGCTCGGGTGACACCGATCCAACTTTAAAGGTCCTAGGTCCTCGGAATTGAACGCAGCGGCTATTTATATGCTGCCCCCCCCCCCCTCAACAAATGTAATTTATGTATGTGTGTGCATGTGTGCGTGGAAATGTTGGCTGCTGGAAAACATGGTGGACACCCAACCATATGCGATTGAGAACATGCGGTGTTGTTTTACGTCATGCGGTCGCCTCCAATGCTCTAAAGTGTATGTTCAGTGAAATTTGTTGAGATGTGCCCCCTCCCCCCTCCCCATCCCACTGCAACATTCTGTATTCGCCTCTAAAAGAGCGTGGACTGTAGCGAAGATTCAACAGAAGTACAAACAAATAAAGCATGGTCTGACGGCCTCCTTGTCCACCACAGGATGACACTGAGCGGCCTCTGCTGGCGCTGCTGGACTTCTTGGAGTTGTCGGCGCCGCCCGGTCTGGGCAGGCGCCGCTGCCTGCGGGAGCATCCGGCAGGCTTCACCAAACGTTCGTTCGATGCCGGCGTCGTGGCAGAGTACGCCTACAGTGACCCGGCGCTGCGCCGACTCGTCGACGACCACATCGACCAGCTGAGCGAGCAGCTGCTCGAGCACGGACACGCGCTGCCGCTGCAGAAGTACGCGCTGTACGACCGGTCCCGGCTGCTGGTGAGGTGAAGACGCGACGCCGGAGCTGCGGTGGGCTCGCGGAGACGGCAGCGCGCGCCGACGTGCGGCGGTCTCTGCCCGACCGCTATCGCCGGTCTCTGTCCAGTCACCGTCGGAGGAGACAACGAACACCAGCGGAAGCCAGGCGACGGAGCTGCCGGCGGGGAAAACGCTCGCACAGCTCACATAGTACACACTCGCAGTAAACTACGTGATACAGCATGTGCACGGAGCATACACTCTGTACCCGTCGCTGTGAGCAGACCGCCGTAGGCATCGGCGGTACATAGCCGATGTGAGCAGCTGGGCCGTATCAGTGGGAAGCCCCGGAGTTCGCAACTGAGGACACGCAGGAGACTAAGGTCACTGTCTGAGGGGAGACTAAGGTCACTGTCAGTCGGCACCTGCCTCTGGGGAACTGGCGTGTGTGTGTGGTCAGTGAGAAGTGCCCACATGGGATTTTCACAGGCATCCTAGCGGACGGTCAGGACATCGCCTCATGAGAGTTCAATGTGCAACGCCGGTGGCATATAATGCCGCTTGAGTCTGCGTCGTGGTGGCAGGACGCGAACAGCTCCGGTTGTTTTAGACACAGTTGATCGAGTAGCCGTTACGATATGGTATGTTATGAGCGCACCCGCGAATGCTTCTCTTTCTTCTTTAAGTGTTCCACGTTCGCAACTTCCAGTGCTCGTGACTTCGTCAGTGTTGACGCCGTGATCCGAACCCCATATCCCGCCGCCTCAGGCATCGCCTCAGACGGGAGCCGGTGCCGGCTGCCCCGCTGCCGTCGGACGGGGCGCCAGTCCACGGGCCAACGATCGGCCCTGCGGTAAGACAGTCTGTGTGTCAACCTGAGCCAGATCGCGGCGCTGGTGATTTGTCACAGTGATCTGTTGTACGTGTCCACCGCCAATGAATGCTACAAATGTACCTCCTTCGCCGCCGTGGCATAGCGTTATATCGCAGAGCCGTAATGTCGCCGTGCGATCGCACACAAGAGCCGATAGTGGGGCGCACGCGGCGCTTTGCTACGGCATATAATCATCAGGTGCGGGAGGGGAGATGGGGGAAGCCAGGAGACCTGCAGCATGGCTGAACTATGGTGAGCGGTGGTAAATGCGGCCCTTTCCCGCATATACGTGCTGGTCACCCGACTTTGCCGGAGACAGATTCCGCGCACTGATCTCAGGCGGTTTCATACTGAAATAGGGCTCTTCAATTTTCGAATGCACAAACACAATCGCGTTCGACATTTCATGTATTCCTTCCTTCAAATGGATCGGTGAGAGCGCTACATCACAACACCGCGGCTTTCACCTCAAACGAAGCATTGCAAGATGACAATTCACATTTCACTCAAGTCATGATTTCCCTGGATGCAGCGTCTGCGTCAACCGTATGGCTAGCACATGAGGAATAAGTTAGCTAGTTTCAACGAACCTGACGACGCCAGCTCTAGCAAAACCTGCTGACAAAACCAAAAATTGGCCAAGACAGAGCCAAAAGGCAAGCAAGCCCCGCACAAAGGGAATTCCAAAATAAAACGATGACCATGCACCGGCAGACGTGGTCGGCGTTCAACACCGACCAGCCTCCTCTGTTCCGGGAGCCGCAAACCTCTCGGGAGCACCATGAGACGTCGGTCCTCGCCATCAGCCGCTGCGTCAGCTCTCTCAGCCGGCCCGGTCGTCCGTCGGCACCGGCCGGTCGGCCAGCCGCCGGCCCCCGGGTCACTGCGTCAGCTCTCTCCGCCGGCCCGGCCTCCCGCCGGCACCGGCCGGTCGGCCAGCCGCCGGCCTCCGGGTCACTGCGTCAGCTCTCTCCGCCGGCCCCGTCGTCCGTCGTCACCGGCCGGTCGGCCAGCCGCCGGCCTCCGGGTCACTGTGAGCCGAATGTCAGGTCCATCTCGGCCCAGTTCTGACCCAGCTCACTGTCCGTGTCCTCGACGGCTTCGTCGTTCTCGGACTCGGCCGCCTCCTCGGGGTCCAGCTCGTAGGACGGCTCCAGCTGGTCGGGCCCGGCCTCCAGGCGGCGCAGCGAGCGCAGCGCCCGTTCATTGGTCGGCTCCAGGCTGGCGGCAGGTGACGTCACCATCAGCCGCATGCCGACGCACGCGGCCGGACGCCGGCCGTCCGGCGCGCTTTGCTCGTGATTCAACTCATTCACGATTCATTCAAGATTTAAGGCGTCATCCAAGTGAAAGGGACGCGTAGATAAATACCTTACTGGACGGTTGTGGACTTCGAATCTGCCACTCTGCGACCCGTTTTACGGCCGTGACCAAATATCGTTCAGGCAAAGCCCATAGTGTTCCTCATGTCTGCTAACACTTCCCAAGAGTGACACTTATCTCACGGCCGCCTACGCCTAGGGGTGCCATCTCAGCCGACTGAAGATACTCCTGGCACTTTCTGAATTTCACCAATGAAAATTGGCGTCTGGTGCTCAAAACCATAATTTCGTTTTCTTAAGTCGTGTGGCCAGCTCGTACTTAAAGTTTTTCTGTTCCGTCAAAATATCAAAAATGCTACACTTATACAGCAACAGAATGGCCAGCACCAGGTGCATTCCCCACAGCCGAGTGCTCAGGCATGAGCGTCTGAACCTGTACCCTTTCCCATTGGAAAATGAGTGACCGCTTAGACCTTAACAAGTTGCAATACGTTACCAGTGAGGGGCAAGGATTCTTCACCCGCCACGCGCTTAGAATTCCCTCCCCCTTCGAAGTCACGTCCACACCCATCACCGCGCACATCGCCGACGGCCGGCGCGGACGGCTCACTTGAGGGCGATCTGGTAGTGATGGAGGGCGCGCTCCTCGTCACGGTCGCGCACCAGCAGGTCGGCCAGCGCCAGGTGCAGCCGACACGTGGAGTGCGTGGCCACCTGGCGACGCAGCAGGTCGATCGCCAGCTCGTGCAGGTTGCTCTGCCGCGGCGCCGCCGCCGGCCGGTTATTCGCGGGCGGCGGCACGTGTACCCGTCACACAACAGCACGCGGTGCACATTACATGACACACAGCTGATCTGATCGACATAGCGTTCGGTAAATCCACATAACACAGAGCGCAGTGTTAGCACCATACTCAAACGTTTGTGGCAGGCACGTATTTCAGTGAACGCCAGCTGCAGTGGACGGGTGGCGAGGTGGACGATGCAGTGGCCGTGAGGGTGGAGAAAGAGCTGCCAATGACAGTAGGTGGCGCGTATGGGCTGGGCGAGACGTACCTTCTCATAAATCTCCACCAGCAAATGCACAGCGGGTAGGTAGCTGGGCTCCTTGTCCAGTGCCTTCTCCAAACAGGAACGGACGCGGCTTACGTACAGCGGCTCCTTCAGCATCACACTGGCGTACAGCTGCAACCACACGCCGCGTGCCATCAGCGCAATATGTCCCGACGAAATCACCACACGCGCACTGGGGTGTGACAGCAACCATAGCGAGACTTAGCCCATCAGCGGCACTGCATCTCACGCACACAGACTTCAGATCAGGGCCACACCAAGGCACGTCACCGACCGTCACGTTGGAGATCGCTCAGTGGTGCGGACCAGCGCCGGGGGTCAGCGGTTGCTCACCGTCAGGGCGCGGGCCGTGTAGCCCATCTCCTTGCAGGCGTTATTGGCCAGCGCGATGGCCTCCTTGCAGCGGTTCAGGTAGACGTAGCACTGGACCAGGCCGTGCACCGGCTCGTAGCGATACGAGGCGATTTGCATGGCCTCCCTGAAGTGAATCACCGCCTCCTGCGTCTTCTTCAGCTCCAGCAGTAGGTTGCCTTTCAGCACCAGCGCCTCCACGTTCCTGGGAGCCAGCACAGACGCCTGCGGCGGCGGGCGGCGCCGCGTGAGGGCGCTGGCAACACGCACAGCACGAGGCCGGCACGGACAGCACGCAGGTGTACCGACCATCGCCCGTCCTGGTCGATAACCGCGTGCCCACAAAACACCGCACGAACGCCTCTCGATAACCGAACATGAACAGGAGTCGGGAATATCAAACAGAGGCGGTGGGGATGCGGCGCTGGAACAGCCACGGCTCGCCGCCACGGCAGTGGAGCCCACTACACTGCGGTGCGGTGCGGCACGAGGCGACCCCATTCGGGACCAGGCCACCCTCACCTTGTGAGCGAAGTAGAGCGCCCGCTGCGGCCGCTTGTTGAGCATAGTGTGGTAGGCCATGGCCACCCAGGGCTCGGGGTGCACCTCTGACGAGCTGCTCATCAGCTGGTTGGCCAGCTGCTCCAGTTCCTTGGACTTGCGGTCGCGGTGGTACATGTCGGCTAGCAGGTCCATGCCGGAGGCGAGCAGCGGGTCCACCAGGTGTACCTGTCGCGAGCAGCCAGAAGTCGGCAGGAGGTCCCCAGCAGTCGGAAGTCAGCGGGAAGTCGCGAGCAGTCGGAAGTCGGCGGGAAGTCGCGAGCAGCCGAAAGTCGGCAGGAAGTCGCAAGCAGCCGGAAGTCGGCAGGAAGTCGCGAGCAGTCGGAAGTCGGCGGGAAGTCGCGAGCAGTCGGAAGTCGGCCAGGAAGTCGCGAGCAGCCGAAAGTCGGCGGGAAGTCGCGAGCAGTCGGAAGTGGTCGCATGCTGAGAGGCCACAGTCAGGCCTTCAACAATGACCAGCCGGCTGGGCTGGCACGCTTTTTTACTTTAATGTTGTGTTGTTTCACGTATGACATATGCATACACGGTCCCGTGGATGCACACTGCACACGCACCTTTGTCCTCACGAGCACGTACTATTTGATCAAATGAGCACCAAACAATCAGCAGCCGTGCGATAACATCTCGTGCTTTATACGGAATCCAGAAACATAATGCGTGCACCAGCCATTTACATAGCCTCCCGTCCCATCCCAACCTATTGTTCGGTTTCTCATTGCGTGCGTATGCCACAAGCTCGGAACTATCGTGCCACATGGCAGCGACCTCGACGTTCATCTGTATTCCCCATAGTCTCCCACTTCTTTCCAAATTGATCCAATTCGCCGGTTTTCTTAGCAACAGTAGCTTCTGTTCGATAGTATGCATGCATTACTCTTTTGGCACCCTCCAACTCTGGTTCATAATTCCCACACCCAAGTTTGCTTGACACGATAAGCTGTTTGATTCACAAGGCATGAAGTCAAACAGAGACAGTGATATCACATTAATGTCATGCGATGACATTAAGTCAAACAGAGCACTGCCGTATCCGAGCAGAGCAATTTTAGGATGATGCAGCCTAGCAAATTTCAAGATCCCCTTCATTTTCGTCATACACGAGTGCCATATCGGCCTTACGGTTGCACACTCGTAAAAGAAGCGTTTCAGGTCATCTGTAACATGGCACTTGGGGCACATGGGGCCCTCGACTATCCCTCTAGTGAGCCAACACTTTTGTCTTGGAATGTACCTGTGGATAATCCTGCAATGGAATCATTGCAGCGTTAGCATGCTAATACTGTGACCTGTTACACGGTAGTAAGATGCTTGCCATTACCGATTCTGCCACTTGCAGGCCAGACACCCAATCAGCGACCGTTCCTGTGGCCCAACTGGCCAGTTCGTAGCGACAGGTCTTCAACCTTGGTCAATAAGCGGCCATAACAGTAAGTGCTGTTCCACAGTGAAGTACAGAGCTGCCCGCTAAGCCTAACGCGCAGTCCCACGAGTGACAAAAGCAGTCACCACCCTTTTGGTGATAGCGGGCAGTGAGTGACGACATCACCGAACACATACACATACAGTCGCGTACCGACACGAAGGGCTGTCCCTGCCCACCGAGCTGTGCCGCTGTTGTCAGCGGGACACCTCGGCACCCCTCACCCGACCCATCGAGCTGTGCCGCTGTTGTCAGCGGGGCACCTCGGCACCCCTCACCCGGCCCATCGAGCTGTGCCGCCACCGTCAGCGGGACACCTCGGCACCCCTCACCCGACCCATCGAGCTGTGCCGCCACCGTCAGCGGGACACCTCGGCACCCCTCACCCGACCCATCGAGCTGTGCCGCCACCGTCAGCGGGACACCTCGGCACCCCTCACCCGACCCATCGAGCTGTGCCGCTGTTGTCAGCGGGGCACCTCGGCACCCCTCACCCGGCCCATCGAGCTGTGCCGCCACCGTCAGCGGGACACCTCGGCACCCCTCACCCTGGCCACCGAGCTGTGCCGCCACCGTCAGTGGGGCACCTCGGCACCCCTCACCCGGCCCATCGAGCTGTGCCGCCACCGTCAGTGGGGCAACACGGCACCCCTCACCCGACCCACCGAGCTGTGCCGCCACCGTCAGCGGGGCACCTCGGCACCCCTCACCCGGCCCATCGAGCTGTGCCGCCAGCGACGGCAGGGCACCTCGGCGCCCCTCACCCGACCCACTGAGCTGTGCCGCCACCGTCGGCAGGGCACCTCGGCGCCCCTCACCCAGCCCACCAGGCCGTGCCGCCACCGTCAGTGGCTCTTTTCCGCGCCCCTCACCCGCTGCAGCGTGCTGAGCGCATTCCGGTGGTCGCCGCTGTAGTAGAAGGCACGGCCCAGCGTCACCAGCATGTGCGCGTTCTCCTGCAGCGGCGACCGTTCCTCCAGCTGTTTGAGCGTGTGTGCGCACGGCACGTACTCCTGCGCGTTTAGATGGGCGTGCGCGCGCAGCCACAGCGACACCCTGCGGCAGAGCGGATGGTCGGCCTCGGGTGTGGTCTGTGGGGCGCGGGACGACCTCACGACCGCCCGTTGCGGGGCGCGGACGGGCGGTGGTGGTATCTCTCGACACGTCAGCTCTGTTTTGTGAGCGAAGAGTGTCACAGCCTGTTAAATCAGTCACGCTGCGATAAAGAAGCGTTCCACGAGCGGAATTCTCGCAGCGGTAAGTCAGCTGCCCTACCGGCTGCAGTCCTAGCCAATAGGGCTTGGATGGTCACCACGAGCGGGATTCTCGCAGCGGTAGGTCAGCTGCCCTACTGGCTGCAGTCCCAGCCAAGAGGGCTTGGATGGTCACCACGAGCGGGATTCTCGCAGCGGTAGGTCAGTTGCCCTATCGGCTGCAGTCCTAGCCAAGAGGGCTTGGACGGTCATCACAAGCGGGATTCTCGCAGCGGTAAGTCAGCTGCCCTACCGGCTGCAGTCCTAGCCAAGAGGGCTTGGATGGTCAGTCAGTGGGATGGCGACACGGGACTAATCTCTCAACAGCGTCAGTGGCGCAGTCGGCGAACTGCCGGCTCCGCCAACAATCGCACCACACCCAGAGCATGCACAGTCACATCAACTGCGTCGACAGATGACGCCGCCGGTCCCGCCGACGAGTGGCCCGGTCTGATCAGCAAACCGGGCCAGAGACGCGGCCGACGGGCCGGAGACGCGGCCGACGGGCCGGAGACGCGGCCGACGGGCCGGAGACGCGGCCGACCGGGCCGGAGACCCGGCCGGCAACACAGGGCGGCTCCCGCTCACCACTCCATGTTGGGGACGTTGCTGGTGCCGTTCACCATAAGGCAGGCCACCTCGGTGCCCTTGACGCCCATCTGCAGCAGGCCCTGGGCAGCCTCCATCGCCAGCGGACACTCCTGGCGGCGGGAGGAGGGGATGGGCGGTCAGCGTCGCGGCTCACCGCGTCATGATCACACATGTGTGTTCTGAAGGTGACTCGCAATGATTTAATACACCGGGAGTACCACCAATCGGACACAAGAAGGCTGCCATGTCAGCTCACCCTAAGAACCTCTTTGTAGGCGGTGATTGCCGGCCGCTCGGTCCCACATTGCTGGTAAAGCTGACCCAACGCCATGTTGACCTTGACCGTTCGCTGCTTGGCAGGAACGGATTCCAAAATGCCCGTGGCCTGGAAGAATTGCTTCTGGTGGACGTAGCACAGGTGCAGCTGATATTTGACGTCTGTAAATGAAGCAGGTACAATGTTGCCTATAGTTTCGAATAGACAGCACAAGACATGAGTGATGGTTGGTATATTTTGAGCATGCACCCAGGTTCCTGAGGTCAAGCCCAGCCTATGAATACAACAAAAGATACAAGCACCATCTGGGATATAGAACAGCAGGTAAACCAGGATGATGTCCTCTGGGATAACCCTTCCAAATTTCCAGTTCTGCATGGGTTATGACTGACAAATTGTAATCATAATACATGTGAGTATCAAACACAGTGCACTCAACACAGAATGAGAATGTCCATTGTCATACACTACACTTGTTACAAAAGTACATGCAAAACACATATTGCCTGCAGCATCCATTGAATATCACATTAAAATAATCAACTTACCTATCTCTGATGTGCAATCCTTCGGAAATTCCAGCTGTTTTCCCTTGACCTTAGCCAGAGACTTGCGATACTGTAAAGCTTTCTTGTAGAACGCCTCAGCGCGTTTAATATCCCTCAATTGGAAAAGCGAATTGGCAGAGTACACCAGAGTCTGATACTTGTGGACTGGGAGATAAGCAGTCCCCTTGATCAACCAGGGATGTGGGTAGTGCCAGACATACCTGAAAGCCAATAACCCGATACTTTGAACATCGCTCTTAACACATCACCATCAACAATGAGCAGAACACAGCATACACAGGACAGAACGCGGTACCTAAAGCCTGATCGATTAAGCAGCATTTGTAGCTCACGTGTTCATGTCAGGATGACAATACAGCTGTTTGTGAATGTACAACAATACTGGTGGTTTGACTATTCCAGTACAACTCGATCATGTTTGTCCGCTTGTGATTTCGCTAACATTTTGTACAATCAGAGAGGACTGGAAATAATGTTACAGCACAATGGCACACACAAGTGAGTTCTGAGGCTGTAGACAGGTACGTCATTGACCAATTATGTTATTTCTCTGAGCTAACAGCCTTGAATCTCTAAAATGTGTCAAAAGACTAATTAACAAAACTTGACAATTTGGGCAACTCTTATGCAACTTAAACAACTTCTTATGCTTTAAATGTGCAGGTGTCTTATTGTGTGACTGGTTGAATTGTGCAATGATACACCTTTGGCCTTCCATTTCTGGTTTTAAACATTTCATGCTGGTGGATCCAACTTTAATTCTGCACAGCATTTTTTGTGTCTAGGTTTCTAGGTTATGCATTTTACCCTCTGGCTTCATTCACATTTGATGTTGATAATCCCAATTCCAGTAAGACAGAAGAATAGATCCCATACCATATCAGCAGCACATACTATATGTGCTGCACATATATATGAATGCAGCACATACTATAATCCATGACTTTGACACACTCACTTATCACATACATAACTTAGATGACCTGTCATACTTTGTCAGACTGATTGTGCCTAGACAAGGCCTCTTTATGTTTCTAACATGATAGTGCTATTTCAAGCTTGCTCATATAGAAAATAGTCTTCAAATTCAGTTGGTGCCATCTATGACTTTATGTGAGTGTGACCCTCATCAATGAGTTGGTGTTTTACTATGCATGGATTTGCATACATAGATGGCAAGTATGTGGTTTTTATGCCTGGGGTTAGTCTAATTTTCCTGAGATTGTGCATGTTATGTCTGAAAATGTTATAATTGTGAATATTGTGGGAGCAGCATGGCTACAAACTGATCACAGTTGGGAGCCACCTAAGTAACACAGTTGGCTAATGTGCATGCAAATGTTGGTCCCACTCAGGGTTCCAGCCTAACTCAAGAAAGCTTTCCCTGACCACCTTCTGCCCAGGAAACAGCAGCAGTTGGGGAGTTACAACTCTATGACAGAAGTAACACAGCATGGCTTTAAAAAGACCTTTTTGGTCTGGTGGTGTTTCCCCAGGCATGAGCTCATTTAATGTCATAGGAGCAGATTGGTTCACTGAACCTGAGGATTGGGAAGAGCATTTGTATGTGCAAACAAAATTGTGTGTGTGTGGTCCAAACAGTCCCACAAAAAAATACAAAAATGATACCACTTCTGAGTATATGTCTTACAGTCAGTGAGGTTGTATGAATCTAACACCATGTCCCCATGACATTTGAAAGGTCAAACAAGGCCAATAACCTTAAATGAGTACCAGTGATTGTTACTTAAAACAGGTATCTGGTTTCACTGTGGTGTGGGGATACTTTTGATACCAATCTGGAGTTTGATGTTGTTTGACCTTCCTTGACCCAAAGTTCATTACTTAAGAACCTCAAATTTTGATGGGAGTTCAAATGCAGGCCAATACACCCTGTGAATTTGATGCCTCTAGCTTTCTCAGTTTTTGAAATTTCAGGGGGAGGGCAAATTGACCCCCACCTGAGCAAAAGATATTCAACTGACCATCTGGGCTCATGTTAAAACTTGCAGGCAAGCTGACTGTGCAAGCCACACTTGAGTGGCCTGTACATATGCAAAATATGTGACTGTGCAAGCAACACTTCAGTGAGGAGCAAACAGACAAAATATAGAAAACATAATCCCATTAACAAAGGTAACTGTTTTGCTGTAAGCTTATGAACCATAAAACATTCAAAGAGGGACATAGGATACAGGGTAAATAGAGTGTATATAAAGCATTCCATTGCAAATGAAACTGCCCTCTGGCTGCATGCCAGCATCCTTTGAGAAAAACATACATCCCTGAATGGCACTCAGTGATCTGCCACTGACTGGTAAGTTTTAAATTGATGAAGACTGCTGAAACAAGGTCATCACCTGTATCAAGTTGTAAATCATCTGTGCCTGGAATTAGCACAATGTCAAATAAATGCCTGTCTCAATCACAAACCAAGAGAGTGGAGCTGATTAGGCAACTTGCAATGATCAAACAGCATACAGATAACTAAGACAAAACATAAATTATGACAGAAATGAACCACACAAATGATAAGCACTACTGTTGAAAGACTGCAGACATTTATGAGCAGCATTTAAAATCAAAGCCTTTACAAATAAATAAAGACAAACTAAATGTTTCCAACAATCTATAAAATGGCATAGTATGAACAAAACAAATATTAAGATTAAATCACATAAGTAACAGAAACCATGCATGCAAACCATGCAAATCTAAGTGGAAACTGGTTGATAAAGAATATACAGAATTCAAATTACATACAAATCCTACAATCCTGAAGGTGTTCATTTTCAATCAACTTGATGTGTGAGAGTGAAGTCACATTCCAAGCTCCATGAACTCCTGCAAAATGTCTGCTTTAAAGGGAGGGTGTCTAGATGAATGGGACTTTTTAGCACTTTTCCTTAACCTTGAGACTAAGGAAAAGTGGATTAAGCAGAGCTGTTTGATGTTTTACCAAAGACTCCTCTAAAAAATATTGAAAATTCCCTTTAAAATCAGATGGCTGTACCTACATCACACTTCACCGCTGCGATAATACACCAACATCACTCACCAGCTGGACAACATTGGAGTACAGCTCTTGTTCATACATTCGCTTGATATGTTCAAACAAACTCATCGTAGTTGATTTAGGCACCTAAAACCTGTTTCAAAAAGTCTACTTTTCCGATACGCCGCCTAACGCCACAGAGCACTATCTTCGAGTCGTTCGGCACGTTTCGTATCACAATACCTCGTCAGCAACGAGCGCTATGAACGTTGAGTATTAGTCGCCGTAAGCTAACGTGAAAATGCACAACACATGACAGACGGGCGCAGACTTTATTTTGAACCCAAAAATTAAACTTTCGCTTATTCGTAAAGCGTGCGGCAGATTTGTCTCATTTATTGCTGCCATCTCGAGGTTATTTTTTCACATTCAATGATATTCATCCTTCGGATCTCTAACAATGTTACGCTCGTGAAATATACGCAAACTCACTTTAGCATAATTCCAATACGATGATTGGACACCAAACAGGGGCGCAGTCAGTGTCTTCTGAATGGGGATCTATGAGTAGTCATCACGTCGATTTTTTGCTTGTCGTTAACCATCTATGGTGAAGAGCGAACAAAATATGGGGCCTGGGCTCTCGCTCCCACACCTTCGACTAAGGGTCCTGGCCTTAAGCCTCCCCTGCATGGCAGCTCCCCCCACGGTGAATGAGACAAGTCTAATATTCACGCTCTTGGGTGCTGATGGGGTTAATTGGCGCCTTACCCGAAAGCTTTTCCGAAATGCTTTCCGAACGACGTGGTGTAGCCGCGCTCAACTTAGGGCGCGGCTACTACTGCCTACTGCGTGGCTATAGGCAATTGAATAGCGGATATTTTTGTATAACAAATTTAGATGCACCTTGTAAGGTCTTCTACATATGCCAGGTCAAAGTCAGGTCTTATTTATCAGCGAAAGTATAAGATTACAATAAATTCCCAAGGTCAAAACAAGCCTGCTTTTTTACTCGAGAGGTTGCTTCATGGGATAGTTTTTGGCATTCATTTCAAGTTTGAATGACATGTACCGCAACAGTCACGTTCCATGGATTTTTGAACGTCAGATTAGGTCACTGACCCAAAATGGCCCAGGACAATACCTTATTTTGCAAGCATACTGTCTAGCGTAATCCGTGACGCTTATTTAAATGGAACAATAACAGCAATCGCACAGTTCTTTGGTCAGCGTGCTCGTTTAAAAATCAAACAAGGTCACTGACCTTGAATAAATACCATTGACCTTTTGCTTAGAACAGATTTCTAGGTTCACGGCGGCTGCTTGAGAAGGTCCGCTGGTATTTCGGACACCAATCTAGAATTAAGCCTTGTTGGATTTTATTTGACCCTAAGGTCATGACCCAGAAACCTGAAATTTTCATATAAGCGAGTTCACATACAGGCCAGCCAACCCTATGAACTCGGTGTATCCAGCTACCTTAACTTCTGAGATTTCCGGGTGAGGGGTCAAACTGGCTCTCATTCGAGCAAAGGGTATTCGGCCGACCACGGGCTCGTGTTAATGAAAGAGGTGTATGGGTGAAATGAGATGCTGGAACAGTTTTTGTTTAACGTAAATGGATTAACGAGATATTCCAATTTCTGGTAGCTTTATTGCCGATTTGGCGGATGAACTATAACAGAGTGAGCCTACCCAGTTAACACATAATCTTCAACGGAAGTTTCATTTTGGGCTAGTTACTTTCGACCATCGCTGGCGCCACAGTATAGTGCGATGGCCTGAAGCCCTCTTTGCTGTTTGCACGAACAACACAAACGCGCCGCCTGTATCGAGCGGGACAGGGAAACTGGTTTAAACAGCTGGAATATTTCATCTCATTCTACAAAAGCGCCGATTCAAAATTAAGAAACAACCTATAAACGTCAGTGATCTAGCGCTTTTCGAAATTCATGCTTTTCGTGTAGCACAGTTTATGGTGTTATGTGCAGCCAAAGCGCTCTAATTTGTACGTAAGCATGTGAATCATAGTCTAATATCCAGGGTTCCTATCCACCCCACGCACTTCAGTTAGTAAGGGTACGAATAGCACGTCTCTATGACCGGCTCTGGAGGCAAATAACGGACCTTGTTATATTTGCTGAAGCTAGCAGGTTGATATAATGTTGCAAGCATACCTTTACAGACAGATTTGCGGCGCTGAAACTTCGCCGTTAAGGGCATTAGGGGTCCCCGGCCCGCCTAAACTCTCCCTAAAACGGAACGCTGCATCCAAAAAGCCGATGTCAGAGGCTGAGAAAAGCAGGGGTGGAGGCGGCGAGCCAATGTGATGCTGCGAATCCCATAGAATATGTGAGATTAGTCTGCTGGTATATGCTCCTAAAATTGCTAGAGTATGCTTACTATGTCACCTTTTATAAATGTGATCAAAGTCCTTTGTATACCTACTAAGGCAGGCCTCATACAAAGGTACACCGATTTAACCATCGCCCTGATAAGGAGGTGGATGCTACCCCCTAAGGTTTTTTGAGGATACCTCTCCGGCATGCTGTGCGATCGCGCCCAAGCTTTCAGTAAACTACACGGTATCCGTTGCACATGTTTCGATATCGAAGACTTGTCCGTGGGTTGTCTGGTTTCGGAACAGCGGCGGATTTGAGGAGCACTGCACGGTGATCCACGGCCGGTGGGCGGCAATCGATGATGCCGCGGAATGCGCGCGGCGGGCTGATAACATTAACGGAGCCATACATCATACATATATGGTCAATACGTATAAAACTTTACTCCACTGAGCTCAAATTGAACGAGGAACACGTCCATGTAGATGTCGTGTCGCTACAGGACCTATTTTCTTATTTATGAGGACGCAAGGCTAAAAAAGCAATTTTCGGGACAATGTGACATTTAGCCGGGCACAAATGGTCAGTTGGTGACCTGGCAACATAGAGCTCATTATCAATCGCGAGATCTCGTTGGGGCCAATTCACCGATGTCTTTTTTCGCTAAGCTCTGTCTTTTTTAGTTTGGAAATGGCGGTGGGGGATGGGGATAAATCGCATCGACCCCTACCAGCCCGCGCTACAAGAAAACGGCGAATCAGGGCGATTGTTAATTACACCCGCACCTAAAGGAACACCTGGATCTACGCTTCGGGAGCGGCGCGGCACCATACAGCACCTCCATTGATAAAAGTAGGATAGTTAGCGTGGGCTCGCTACTGGTCTCATGAACATATCATGATTTTCGAATTTTGCCATCCTTCACAGTCGATGCCTGAAAGTGGTACTAATACAGATTACCCGTGAATTATCCTAATTATCCAAAGGCTCTGTCTATTTGAAAACAATTACTAATTTGCATTCCATTTATTTTGTCTTTTTGTACTGCTGAGCAAAGCACATTACCATTAAATTTTCGAAACTGATGATAATAATGCAGCACGCGAGACATGGCATGCCACCTCCAATGAAAGGGATCGGCATGCATGCGCACCGGTACTGATTCGCGGGCAACGAAGGCAAGTGGCAATGGCGGATGCTGAACGGTTCTTTACAAAATCGTACAAATGTGCATAATCACAGACAGTAGCTGATCTTGCGAAATGGCAGGCAAATACAAAGCTGGAAGCTGTGAATAATAAATGCAGGGATAAATACACCTTTATCAACCGGCACATAGTGAAAAATCTACGATAACGCTTGGTAGCTACAGCGAGAGAAACACTTGTCTGCGTCCAGCCACAGGTCCATTTTCACAATGATCACAATCAAGACGTCGTGTTCTCATGTAAAGCGAATAAATGACACCGAGGTACATACATCGCGTATACCGGCAGTTCTTCCCCGAAATGTGCGTGATTGTCTGGTTGACATTCAGTTGTATTTTGGCTAATGGTAGGTTTTGAGTATCAGAGACCCAGGGCAAGAAGCTAGCACGTGCACCGAGACGCAGCGATCGTCGACACGTCTCTGCTGAATTATAGCCTCCTTATTCCAACACGATATTTCCCGTACAACCGCCCTTGCGGCATGCGTCTGCGTGATGTTATTGTGTCACGCCTTTTCACGCTCACCACTGTCGCTCTGCGGGAAAACCTCTGCTGCGCGTTCATTGCGTCACTCGCCAACACTTCACTCGTACCGTATTTCCTTGACCACGGCATAATTTCATTAGTGGCCGAGGTCAGTTTTCCGCGCCCCATGCCCCAACGCCACCCCTGGGCGCATTTCTTCGTAAAACGCTGACTGGGCCGCCGCCGCAGTGGCCACAACACGGTGCTGCTGTCCCGTCTTGGTCCCCGCCGGCCAGCGACACCGTGAGGCTCACGGGCCGGCCGTGCTCGCGCTCTGGCGCGGCAGTGCCCCGGCTGCGCGCTGGCGCGTGACGACCCGCCGCCACACCGCCGTTGCACATCACACGTTGATGACACTGTCTCTGCTCTGATCGATCGACTGATGTGTCCGGAGCCTCTCCTCCATCTGGTGCAGCTTGTCCTGCATCTGACGAAGCTGAGGGCACGGCGGTGCATTAGCCGGCGGGCCCCCTGCGTCGGACAACACGAGAACGGTTAAGATACCCTCCCGTGGTATGCGATATATATGATTCGTTATTTGTATGTATATTGAAATATATATATATATATATATATATATATATATATATATATATATATATATATATATATATGCATATTGTTGTGTACGTGGAAATGAAGAAGATCGCTAATTCCGTGCTAGCAAGTTCTTCAAAAGTCTATCAAATGTACGAACGCTAGAGCAGCAGCATGCAAACAGATGTGGCAGTACAACTTATGATCAATTACTATTCAATGGGCTTTCACATCGAAGCGTTGTGGAATTTATGCTGTTACAACGCAGAACTGTTCTATAAATAGATGCATCGACATATTCAATGTTGGCGAAGCTAGTGCACCCTCATTTGTCAGGTTCCAGCATGACTATGCTTTGCTGATCTGTCGGCTGTGAATTAATGAATAAAATATAAGTGAATTCGCTGTCGGAGCGAACCTCGGTCGCTCAGCTAATGGTGAACCGCATCATGCGTGCATGACGCGATGTGTTTCCCCAATGTTTTACAAGCTTCTGAAGCCCTTGTTGCTCGTATATCCTTGCTTTCTTTGTCCCCTTGGGGAGCTTTTGCAAGAACCAGTCATCATCGTGAAATTTTGGTGAAAATAGACTTTTAGAATCCAAAACAAAAGTCCCCGCATCTGCATCTATTTTTGGTGAGCGGGAGAGGAGGAAGCGCGGGTCTCCGCGCCTCGGTCTGACCGCGCAGACTGCCCAGCCTGCACCCCAGCCCGACAGCGTGACGTGAGCCCACCTCCTCGTCCTTCTGCTGGAGCATCTTGTCCTTCTGCTCGGTGTCGCCGAACGTCTGCGACTCCCGCTTCAGCTTGGTGCGCGACTTCATCGCCATCTGCGAAATCTGCGAGATGCACTGGGTGCGGAAGTTCTCGTACTGCACTTCCTGCGTCATGTCCTGCCGGCAGGCGTGTGAAGGAATGTGTTCCGTTGTCCCCTGGCGCAATCGCACTGGTCGTGTCGGCCCAACACGCAAGGAAATTGCTGCAAACACGATAAGGCCAGGAATAAATGGACAGTGGCTGATCAGGACGATTTAGATAGCAACTGGCTCTGGCGATGTCTGTGAGTGTAGACATTACAGTACACTATCCCTGAGTTGTAGCGCAGGCAGATACATGTCTATTCCTCATGTCGAAAGGCAGCGCCAATACGGTCGTATCTAACGGTCTGAGGCCGGCTCACCGCCTGTACCCACTACGCTCGGGCTCGGTGGAGCCGGGTCGCGTCGCTCCATCACGGAGGGAGGCGACCCCATCCCGGAGCGGGGCAGACTGTCCGGTGGCCAGCCACTCTAGTGGACTGGGACCATCCCGCCGCACCGGGCCTGACGTCGGCCGCCCACCTTGAGGTCGTGCATGTGCGTGGAGATGAGCATGGTGCGCAGCTTGACGAAGTCGCAGTGCTGGTGGTTCTCCACCTCGACCACGCCCCAGGGGTACTGGCGGCCGCGCACTCGCCGGCCAGCCACGTCGATCACCGTGTTGGAGCCGATGACGGCGAACGGAAAGCTGGCCTTCAGCTCCTGGTCCTGCCGCTTGAAATCGGCGTCCTCGTCCGGGTCGCACTCGGGGAACTCGTAGATCTGCCGGCACGCGCACCAGTGAGCCCGGTGGCGGCACAGCTCCCCCGGTCTGTTGGTGGTGTTGGCGGTCTGTTGGTGGTGTTGGCGGTCTGTTGGTGGTGTTGGCGGTCTGTTGGTGGTGTTGGCGGTCTGTTGGTGGTGTTGGCGGTCTGTTGGTGGTGTTGGCGGTCTGTTGGTGGTGTTGTGTTGGCGGTCTGTTGGTGGTGTTGTGTTGGCGGTCTGTTGGTGGTGTTTGTTGGCGGTCTGTTGGTGGTGTTGGCGGTCTGTTGGTGGTGTTGGCGGTCTGTTGGTGGTGTTGGCGGTCTGTTGGTGGTGTTGGCGGTCTGTTGGTGTTGGCGGTCTGTTGGTGTTGTGTTGGCGGTCTGTTGGTGGTGTTGGCGGTCTGTTGGTGGTGTTGTGTTGGCGGTCTGTTGGTGGTGTTGTGTTGGCGGTCTGTTGGTGGTGTTGGCGGTCTGTTGGTGGTGTTGGCGGTCTGTTCGTGATAGTCTGTGCAGTGTTGGAGTGCCAGATCAGCCGGGCCGAAGTGAGAGCACACGGATGGCGTCGGGGATGGCATGGTTCTGCAGGGACCCTGAGCGTCGCGCCAAACACATGCAGCCTCCAATGTCTTTCACATGAAGAATGTCCTGACCTCGATGCTTAACACTGCCGCACCAAACACCTGCTGGCGCGGGCTGTAGCGGGATGTGTGCTGCTGCAATCGCTGTAGCAGCACGCAACAATCGCGTTGTTTTCATTGTAGTGTTCTGCCAGACGATCTATGGACTTTCAAGTTCACGCTTACCTCAATTTGGTTGTCTCGTATGTCCTTCATCATGTTCTCCTTTAACCGCTTCGTCTCCTTTCTCGTCAGCACGTCCGCTTTCGCTATGACGGGAACCAGGTTCACTTTCTTGTGGAGTCGCCTCATAAACTCGATGTCCAACTGCCGCAATCTGCCAGCGACGTGCCGTCGCATTACTTAGCTTCGGAGACGGGCCATGATGCTGCGTAAGTATGGCGCTTGACACTCCACGGTGCTCGGTTTCACAACGGACAGAAATAACCCACAGAAGAGCCTAAAAACTGTGCCTGGCGTTGCTCCCACTGCCGCCCACCTCTCAGCTGAGCGGTTATTCTCGTGGATGACAGCAGGGCTCAAGAGACACCAGTTGTTCTCCTACGGCTAATGGCTACGTCACGGTCCCGACAGCGGAGCAAGGCCATGTCCCCCAACACATTAGAAGAGGTCACGCTTAGGTAAGAGAGGCGCACGGACGTCGAGGCAGCCCTTCGCAATTCGTGTCTGTGAAACAAACCTCGGAAGTTTTTGCTCACCATCCCGTTCACGCATACAGCAGTCGGCATACAGTAGTTACATACGCATACAGCACACAGCTGGGTTACCGCCAGTCAAACGCTCTGGACTTTCATTAAAGACCTTTATTTCGTAACCAGTCATAGCCCACATGATAGTGCTCGGCTCGGATGTCGACTCACCCGTGGCCATATGGCGGGATGAAGTAGAGACAGCAGTGTACCCGGTTATCCTGGATGTTCCTGCGATTCAGACCGCTTTCATCCTGGAAGTACTTGTTGAACTGGTCGTCGATGTACTTCTCACAGGCCCGGTAGCTCTCTTCGCAGTTCAGGGCGTCCCCAAAGCCTGCGTGACGGGGATAGTGAGCTGGGTCTCGCACAATGTCGCGTGTTTCGCCATCGGCTGGATGAGCCGTCGTAACAGCGCACAGATGACAAAAGCGGCGTCAGGCCTAAGGCTATACTAACCGAGATCAGAGCATATGACGGTATGATATACTTAAGCCCCGTTCGCGTTTGTTTGTACATAGAATGCCTACCGCAGAGCAACACATATAGGGACGCTGGTAGCGCTTATAGGTTTGGTGGCGTGATGTAAAGCCAGCTCACTGTGCCTGATAATCGTATAAGTCACGTGGTGTAATCCGTTGATCGCGGCACGGTCGACCACGCGGTGTGTCAGCTGGCACCATCATCTACCGCCGAGACAAGGCGCACGGTGCGACGACAGCTGCTGGAGCTCGACGCCGCGGCTCCTGCGTCTCGTAAGGGCAGCCCGTCTGTGTGGAGCGCCCACATCGGCTAGCTGTTACAGCTGGGTGGCGGGCGCGCCGCCGGAATTGGCTACCTGGCGTGTCGACGACCGTCAGCCGCAGACGCACGCCCTTCTCCTCGATCTCCATTGTGCGCTTCTCTATTTTGGTCGTCTTGTTCACCCGTTCTGAAACAGAGGCATGACATTGACAAGTCGGCATAGACATGTCGCAAACAGAGGGGGAATGGAGCGGGCGGGCTCGGCTGTCACGCGTGGGCTGGAGTCTCAGCCGAGCTCACGCCCCGTGTCCTGCACCGCCGCAGCTGCACCGCGCGCCGAGGCACTCAGTCTCTCATGGGGAGCGTGCGGCGCGTCTGCCACTGCCGGCCTTGGAGCGGACTCGCCTGCACCAGCAACGTCGTCCAGAGTCGAGCAGACCGCTTCACGAGCGGCCGCCACGGCCGGCGAGGAGAAAGGCACGGTCGCGTCAATGAGACGAGCCGGCAGTGGCAGAGTGGCGCGAGGCCGCGGCCGCACCGTTGTGAGGTGCTCTCCGGGCGGTCGGGCGCAACAGATGCGAGCCAACAGCGTCGTTACCGAAGCCCCATGCCGTTTGTGGAGCACGGCTCGGAGAAACTAGACGAGTATTTGCGCCGCGGCCCGTCAGCCCGCGTCAGGCTGCCCGCCGGGCGGCAGGGAGCCAGGTGGTTCGTCAGGGGCGGAGCACGCCGTGGCTCCCAGCACCGGCAGTGGGGCGCGGCAGTCATATTTCCGGCAGCTCGTGTCATGCGAAGCGCGTCTCTCGCGCGCCTCGCGGCCCGCCGCGGCCAGGTGCCGGCCGAGGGGAGCCTATTTGCGTCGCTGCGGGCTGCCGGCGCCGTCAGCCCCCCGACGCCGCGAACCGCGCGGGACCGCGCGGGCCGGGCCTGCCCCCGGCGTGCCTCCTGTCCGCCAGCGACGGCGGCGCCGGCGCCCGAGACGGCGCTGAGAGCACGGCACAGAGATGCGCCGTTGTTCTGGGACAGAACTATGCCTCAGGCACATGTCAGGCGGTAGCCAGTCAGGAAAAACAATCACTTTGGCTACTAACACCGTGCGTGGGTTCGACTGACACCGTGTGGCACCGTTCGATACAACCATGCCACAACTCGAAGTGCCACTGTAGGATAGGCTCATAGCTGGCCAGTAGGCACCGTCACGCCGTGCACTAACCAGCAACAGCCACAAGGTTGCAGCAATCTCGGCCGCGGCTAGAGCATGCCGCGGAATGCTCCCGATCAGATATCTTCATTGTGTAGGGGCCGGGCGTCGTCGAATTAACGCCGGCACCCGGCGCGTCCCTGCCAAGGCCGCCCGTCCACCCGCTGCAGGTCAGGTCCCGCGGAATGGGCCGGACGCCGCGCACGGCAATTGTCTGCCGGGCTGACTGTCAAAACCGGACACCGTTGCACTGCGACCTCCCAATAATCCCGACATTGCGGGACTAAGCTGACTCACTGCTCGGAAACTTGATATATCTCCAGGCGTACGGTCAGAAGTGTCTGACGGTGACATCGCGCGGCTGCCGGCGCTGGGGCAGGTCGTCCTGTGCTGGCGATGCCGTGCCAGGGCGTTCGTGCCCAAGCAGGGCGCGGGAGGGCTCCGCCGGCCTTGTCCGGCTCGCCGGGAGAGAGGCGGCCGCCAGAGAGGCGGCACGCTTCGGGCGGGCGGGCCGGCCAAGTCACGAGCCACCCGTCACACCAGGTCACGAGCCACTCGTCAAACCAAGCTGTGAGAGCGGCTACCACTCGGCGCGTGCGGTCACGACCCCCAGGTAAAAACCCGGACGGTCGGGTCACGGACGGACGCTCCAGACGCGGAGCCACGCGTGTGCCTCCCGAGTGACACTTCATTAGGTCACGGCGCAGCCACGGTCTGAGAAATGGCCACCAAGTCCCGACTATTCAACCATCTAGCCAAGAGGTTCACAGAGTGAGAAATTATGGAAATAGCTCCAGAACAACACATGACACTGGCCATCCATCAGCATCAAAACCCGGGTGACCTTTTGCCTCCCATCTGTGTCGGCATCCCAGCATCTCCCATCGCCTCTCATTTCCTCAATCGCCTCTCGTCGACTCCAACCGCTTCCCAACGCCTCCCACCTCCTCCCATCGCTGCCGTCGCCGTCTTAACATCGCAGGGACGGCGGGCCTCGACCGTCCGACAGAGAGGATAGCCTTCGCTTCTCTAACAGAGACGACAGCCCCTGGTCCTCCTGCAGAGAAGACAGTCCTTGATCTTCCTGCAGAGAGGACAAGCCTTGATCATCCGGCAGAGAGGACATCCCTGCTCCTTCAGAAAGGAGGACAGCCATTGATCCTCCGGCAGAGAGGACAGCCTTTGATCCTCCAGCAGAGAGGGCAAACAACCCTTCATCCTTCAGCAGAGAGGACAGCCCTTCCTAAGTCCTCCAGCAGAGAGGACAGCGCTTGCATCTTCAGCAGAGAGGGCAGCCCTTCATCCTGCGGCAGAGAGTTGTGCTCCTGGCCTCTCCTGCAGTCCTGGCAGCACTCGGCCTCCCAGGAGCGCAGGCTTCCTGGACGGGCCGAGGGGCCGCGTTAGGGGGCCGGCTCCCACGGCCGGCGGGCGGCCGTGAGCGGGTGACCGCGCCCATTGCCAGAGCCGGCCGCTGCAATCAATAGCCTCGGGCTGGGGCCGGGGCCGGGGCCGGGGCCGGGCCGGGCCGGGCCGGGCCGGGCCGACGCTGCTCGCCTTTCACGCGGCACCGTCAGCACCGGGCCACGAGTCGGGGGCGGGGTCGGCCGGCCGGCCGCCCGCCCGCCAGGCCGTCCGCCCACCCACGGGTCCCGTGTCGCACCGTCAGCAACATTCCGCCGACCTCGTGTTTCGCGGCGAGAGGTCAGCGATCGACCACGCAGCTGAACAGACTCCACGGATAGTGATCGATAGCTAGGGCAGGCCCTCGAACGGCCTCGTCAGTTTGCTATCGAATATCTAACGTAGTTGGAGCGTGTATTCCCTGGGGGATGCTTTGACTCTACAGTGTCCACCTTGCTCCCCAAGCACCATGTACGCATCAGCTAAAAAGTCGTCCAAAAACACCCAAATGGCGCACATTTTTTGTATTTTTTCGAAAACCTGCTCTTGTTCTCCCACAGCCGCTACGGGACTCTGCCGCCGTAATGCCTGGTCGGTTTTTGAGCAATGTCTAAGAAGTTGAGCACATCTGGGAACCGTTCACCTGCGGCGGAAAACCTTCGGAAATGTGTCGATATCAGAGCTCATGACAGAGCAGCAATTACCTGGCGTTGCAGTCGCTCAAGTAGGTCACGCCATAGCTGCTATCTCAAGTCCTGCTTGGTATTAAACAAAATATTGCTGTAGGGAATGGGAAAATACATGGTATCTGTCATCTGTGTGAACATTGCTGCGACTATCATTGCGGTCAAAATGCACGGCATTTCAAGTTAAATGAAACAAAACTTAAGCCAATTTCATATTGATTTCATTTAGTTCGGAGTGCATGCCAGACTTCGGCCATTTTTGTACTCTCTTGTTCGTAAGTCGTATATCAGTCGTGGACGCTTTGGTGAAACTTGTCGCCACGCTGTGTGATTATGAGAGCAGCCGTATTGAAACGACGTGAGTGAAAAGAAGGCAGGCTGATAAATGCTCCGCATAAAGTTGTGCCCAGTATTGATATCTATTGCGCGTTCTACTAAATGAAACTGCAGGGCTTAGGCCCAAGTAACGCCCACACTACCGCAGGCTCCTCCCCCCCCCCCCCCTTTCCTCCTAGGCTGTCGGGTTCAAGACCGAGGAACGTCATGGCAACGCGATAAGTTCTTTCGCTTCAAATGCAATTCGAGCTGCCTGAGGCGGTCTGTTCATCGAGACACACGAGATAGCCGGTTGTCCGTCGCAGGGCCTCGGCTCACTTGACGCTCCTCTGGGCCGGTGCTGAAGCAGGCCTCGTCGTCACCGACTTGCATAGGAGACACGGCCTTGCACCGACCGGGAAGGCGGGCTGGCCCTGCGACGACTTTCCCGTCACGTGACCGGGCCAGCCGCGCGCGTGACGTGCGCCGGCACAAGGAAGGACCGTCCGTTTCCCGGACTGCGGGCGCGTTTGTCGGACGGTGTCTGGCGCAGGTTGGCGCAGAGGCGGTATGACAGAATCTGGCTCAGGTTCGGGCAGGAACGGTATGACAGGATCTGGCGCAGGTTCGGGCAGGGGCGGTATGACAGGATCTGGCGCAGGTTCGAGCACAGACGGTATGACAGGATCTGGCGCAGGTTCGGGCAGGGGCGGTATGACAGGATCTGGCGCAGGTTCGAGCACGGGCTGTATGACAGGATCCGGCGCAGGTTCGCGCAGAGGCGGTATGACAGGATCTGGCGCAGGTTCGCGCAGAGGCGGTATGACAGGATCTGGCGCAGGTTCGAGCACAGGCGGTATGACAGGATCTGGCTCAGGTTCGGGCAGGAACGGTATGACAGGATCTGGACCAGGTTCGCGAAGAGGCGGTGACAGGATCTGGCCCAAGTTTTCGCAGAGGCGGCGTGACGAATCTGGCTGAGGTTCGCGCATAGACGGTATGACAGGATCTGACCCGGGTTCGCGCAGAGGTGGTATGGCGCAATCTGACTCAGGTTCGCGCAGAGACGGTATGACGAAATCTGGCTCAGGCCCGCGCAGAGGCGTTATGACGGGATTGGGCACAGGCTCCGTACGACACAGTGGTTACTGTGTTTACGCGGGAGCCGTATTATGAGCCAGCTTGCATGATATGTGCAAAGTTGCAGGTCGAATGTTACAAGTTACATTTCGTTTTGCCTTTAAAGGAATGCATACATTTGAAGATGAATAAAACATCATATATGATGAAATAAGCTCACTTATAACCATTGGTATAATTTAAAGTGGAAAAGGCTGCTATACACAGTACTGTTTAGTAAATATGCTCCTCAATACGCCTTGCTTTGATTACGTCATCGCACCTTGCACAACATTTATTGGGAGCGAATTCACGGCCGTTATATTTAGAAATTGTGCTGACGAACGCCAGATATGAACGGCTTCACAAATATATTTTTGGCCCCGGTCGCCGCATGGCCAATGGAATGGCGGGATTTGGGTGACGTTATTATAGTGCCATGGATGTCTGGGTGACCTTGAAATGGTCTCGCAATAGCCTGCACATCTTCGCAGCATGTAGTTCAGAAATTAGAACGGTCTAGGTCTTAAGACGGGCAGGCCTGTGAACTGCACTGAATGATCTTCAAAATGGCTTTTTCTGGTCAGACCCCATACAAATGTGGAACACCCTTTAATTCAAATCTGCATTGCGGCGTGCAGCTTTGAACTTGGTTACAACCCTTTACAAGCTAGCATTTTTAAACAGGGAGACAGATTTTGCGCCAAATCTGAAATGTATGGCAAACCTGGGGCATACAGGAGCGACATCCACCGTTTGTGGCCAGGTTCATCAAAGTACTCAGTAAATGTTGCTACGTAAGCGATTTTGTGTTATGATAATGTACTTGTCATCCCATGTGTGTGGTGTTTAACGATTTTGTCCCGTCGGGACAAATTCACGAAGTAAAATAACGAATAGGTACAGTATGATCAAATAAAAAAAAACACTTACATAGCAGCATCTATCAGATACGTTGATAAGTCTTACGACAAATGGTGGGTTTGGCCCCGGTTTACAACAGTACTCGTGCATTTTGGATTTGGTACCAAAGTACGTGTTCCGTTCAAAGCTCATTTTATTTTACACTTCCGCTCACCCCTCCTGTCGCTTAAGATTTCATTAAACACTCATTTACATTCATCCACACTGTGTGCGTTGTAGTCAAAACAAAGCTACATTAAGGACACCTGGATACCTCTTCCCTCATTTATCTGGACCTCCTGCCAGGAGTGCTTCGGCAAGCAGCGATTTATTGCATTATGTTCCACACTATCTCTACCACCCATTAGCTGGATGTCCGACTGGGACAACGCCCTTAGAAATAATGCATTGGTCGGCGCTGATTTCATCAGACTCACCCTTGGGGTCAGAGAGTGTCCTGTCCTTGTAGAGGTCGGTGAGGAACAGGCTGTTGATGAGAGTGGACTTGCCGAGGCCGGTCTCGCCGACCACCATCAGCGTGAAGTCGAAGCCGCGCTTCACCGACTTGCGGTGCACCTGCTCCGGCAGCGTCGCGAACCCGATGTACTCCTTCTCGTCCTGGAACGGCGTCAGGCGACGGTCGGTGCCGCCGGCTGGGAGCTGACGCCGGCCGGGGCTTATCACCACCGGCAGCAAATTGACGAGCCATGCAGAAATAGCGAACCATATATTGTTAGAGAATTGATGCGAAGGTGCTGACACCCCCGGCGGGGGCGATTTGATCAGCCGATTTCGCGATAGACCGACCAGTGGGGCGCCGATCACTGCCATCTCTTGCATTTCAACGGAGAGTAATTGGCAAGATCACCCTAGACTGTAAATCCGATCTCTAAATAAATACGTAATCACATGCTTAGGGGTCATGCCCTCCGTCATTTAAGAGAGCGATGATGGCAGAATGCAAATAAAAGCTCCTTACAGCTTCAAACAAATCAGCGCAAATGGGAACAGATTAGTGCTCGATTCATTCATGTTCGCCCTGCCAGACGGTCTTTGATTATACGGCGAACTGGCTCCATCGAAACCGACTGGACACCGCCCTCAGCAGAATATGATAATTTAGAGGAGGAAAGATCAAAGCGCTTGGCCACGAGGTGTCCACCTCCTCATAGACACCACCAGCATATATATAATTGGATTTTAACCAGTAGCTGATGTGATCTTGCCGAGGGTTGCTTGCGTGGCGTTTGACAAGTAATTACATGCAAGAACGGAAGAAAACATCGCGAGACGTGAGCTTAAACTGCAACGGCGGCCACGTCTGGGAAATACCTCCTTGTTCAGGCGGCTAACTTTCCTGGAAACGGATGTGAACATAGTGCTAGAAGACCTGACGTGCAATCTGGTGCAATGCTACCAAATTTGCAACTGTGAGTAGACAAACGGGGTTTTGATTTATATGGCCTTCCGCCGCTAATAGCGGCAGGCTTTAAGAGGTGATGCTACTGTCAGTCACTTCAGTGCGAAGGCATGCAACCATCTGTGGATGTCAACGCATATGTTGCACGGACTCCTGTGGATCATCTGTAGCACAGTCACGTCATACCTTCAGCATAGGATCACAACTTTGCACACACATCAACCGAATGGAGCAGCTAAACACGCCCACCCCGGCTGGCACTCCCCCCATTGTAACCTAACGGGCCAGAGCACAACTGGGTCGCATTCCTGTCGTCCTGCTGACCGCGGCAGAACCCACGGCTCTTTAGCGGCCTCTCGGAGTGGTCATTGGCCGCCGCCGCAGCGTACACAATGGACGATCATCGCTCGGGAGGCCGCCCGGCCAGACAGTCATCGGGACACGCCGGCAGACCGGCGCCATACACCACCCAGGCAGTGCCGGGAACAGCGCACGGCGGAGGCACAAGGCAGCGTTGTTTGCGTTACGAATAGCCACTGGGAGCGGGACAGCGCCCCCCCCCCCCCCTCGCGGTCAGAGGCGCACGGTGGGCGGCACGCTCCTGCCGGCGAGCACCGCCCCCCAGCGTGACCACGTCCGATGCTGCACGCTGTGCACGCTCTATCAGCGAGTGTGCACAACAGCCGTACTCCTCTGCTTCACGCCGTGGTGAGCACACATCTCAAGGCTGCACCTGTTCACGGACCGCGAGTTAAAGACAACACTGATGAGAAGCGGCAATTGACAGACCAATGTCGCCACAGCAGAGACGTCGTCTGGAACTGACTTGAGTACACTTGACCGACGCTTCGAACGGAGGATCGGGCCGGGCAGGCCTGGCATGCGTTGAAGGGCTTGCGGGGGCTCCGCCGGGTAGTTGAGATTTCCGCTTACATGCCTTTGCATCATTTCGCTAAGGCTTAGTGCATACCGAGCCTTATCACCCATCCAGGAAGCGCAAACCGGATGACGTGCACTATCGGGCATACCAGATGACGTGCACTATCGGGCATACCGGATGACGTGCACTATCGGGCATACCGGATGACGTGTACTATCGGGCATGCCGGATGTCGTGCACTATCGGGCATACCGGATGACGTGCACTATCGGGCGGGTGGTAACACAATCCAGAAGCGGTCATGGTCCGGTAAGTGCTCCCCTGCTGAACTTGAGCCGCGAACTGCACTCCTGCAGAATGTCGGCCATTGTTGGCTGGCGTTTACTACCGAGCCATGCTCTGCCATGGTCAAGAACACGGCGTCCTGTCTGAACAGCAGCAGTGTCCGCCCGAACAATGGTTGACAGGCGTTCACAGCCCGCCTCCTCTGCAGTCGCCTCGCCTGCCGTTTAACAGCTCCGGGAACCCAATAAACCAGTAAAGCCTTTTGTTGGTAAAATCATTTCGAGGCGTTTTGTGAAAATGACCTGTCAACTATTGAGAAGGGAGTTGTATGAAGTCTTTATCCGTTGCTTCTCGTTTTGTATTGAACATTTTTAGCTGTCATTTAACATTTGCGTCGCTCTGGGAATCACTAACGTAACTTTTCTGTTTATAAGAATGTATAAAATCTGCTTTTGGCTGCCAATGCAAAAGGCAGTAAGCGATCCACGGCAATAACCATGTTATGAAGCACGAGGAAGAGTACCAATAAAGAATGACAAACTAATCAATATTTCAAAGTAAAAAATACCGGAACATTCCGAATGATTACTGTCGTGCGTTACGACGGCTACGATAAGCCAAACATACCTATATCACAGTCATGTACGTTTTACAAATTGTGCAAACGAGCCTTAACACCCGCTGATTGCTCTCCATGGTCCTCAACAAAGGTGTGCAGGCCAGCTTGAGACGAAACACCCGTAGTCAAACGCTCAGCGTCACGGTACGTATGTGACGCCCAGCATTATCGTCACGCTGCAGCCGTCGCTTGTCCGCTCAGCAGCCTGCGGTCCGCTGCCCAGGCAGCACTGGAGCCCGGCCAGACATGCTCGACATAACAAATCAAACGGCCCGGCGGACGGAGGTCCGGTGTTTGTTGTCACATGTAGCACGCATGCCCGGGGCGGCACGGGCCCGGATGATGGATCTGCGGCGACGACAGCGACCCCGCACCGGAGCCGTAGCCGACGCCGGCGTAAAACACGCGATGACGACCACCGAGCGCGGGTGGCTTGAACGGCTTGTGCCGCGCTGGGCCTGCACAGCCCAAGGCCCGCATAGGCCGGCTGAAGTGCCGCAGCTCGCGCTGCGCGTGCGGCTGCAGCGGTCGGATCGGCCGAGCAGCCGAGCGGCGCTGGTGGCCGCCGGCGGGTGGCCGTGAGAGCCGGCCGCCGCCCGTCCTGCCATCACCCCGCCTGTCGACGGCGTCATCCCTCGAGGCGCAGGTGGCTTCCCAGCGCCTGGCCCGCCGGCGGCGGCGAGAGCCGATCGCCGGCACAGCCCGCTCTCAGGAGCGTGCGTGGCTCGCAGGCGGCTGTGGAGGCCGTGCCGCTGACGACAGGGTGGGGCGGGGCGGGGCGGGGTGGGGTGGGGGGTAATCGGTGCAGGCCGCTCTCAGCGGCATGCGCGGCTCGCAGGCTGCCCTGGGCGACAGGACTGCATGAGCCGAGACATGCGGCCGTCCTGCGCTCATCTTCAGCCGAACCCTCCAATGAAATGGCACGCTCGCCATCAGGAGGCAGGAAGTAGGACAGGGGAGGGCCGTCCTCCGTCTGTGATTGCGGCGCAGTGTGTCATTTAATAAGACAGTTCAAGGGTACCCTGCAGCGAAAGACCTTCGCTCAATAAGCACGACACTTTCATGAATTCGCTGCAACTTTGACAAGCCCACGCAGGCAATCTTCCAATTGTCGAACACTGCCGAATGCCTCGGCTTCTCGCACTCAGCTGGGACCGTTTTACAGTCGGGACAGGAGCGGGCGCCAGCTGTAAAATTTGTAAACGTTCGTTGGAGACATTTTGGTTACTGTGCTAATAATTCACACAGTGTCATCTCCCTCAAATTATTTTTAGGAAGTTGGTTAGAGCCAGGTAAAAAACACGCTTCGATGGAAGGTGCGACGTAACCAGGCTTCACTGCATAGACGTCGGTTGAAAGCCTTGCACGAATCTCCGCTAAAGTACTATATTAAGTGAGCATGTGTTTTTCGTGCAGTTTGGCAGCTACTAATGCAGAATGAATGTGAAATTATTAACAGTCTTGAGAGGCTCAAAGCTATATGTTATCTCATCGTCGCAAATGAGCTGCTTATCCAAAAAAATCAAAGAGCAACATGATAAAAAACATGACGTGTTATTCATAGATGTAGAGTTTGTAGGGTCAATGCCTGAGGGAGAGCAATTTTTCATGCATGTTACAGAGCGGTTCGAGCGGGAAATGCTATCAATGAGCGACAGCAGTACGGTGACTTGTGCCAACGTAATTACTTACTCCAGTACCCACAATCCATCACCTAGACAGTAGCTACTCTAGCTGCACGTCGTCGGCTTTCCTCCGCAAAACATTCAACGTGGCCTCGTCGATGCGATCAATCACGTCGCAGCCCGGCGGAATATGTGGCCGCCGAGCCGGAGCGTCCGTCTCCACGGCGACCACTCGGACAGGAACACTTGTCTGTCCTGAACGCACAATGCCTGCTCGGACGTCCGATAAGCGAGCACCGCGGGCCGCCGTGTGCGTGCGGGTGACTTCCGACAGGCGGTCGGACCGCGGCGCGCCGGGCAGGGGTGCCGCCCGGCGCAGCGGGCGCCGGACGCGGAGATGCCATCAGCTGGCGCGGGCGAGGCGGGGCCGGCCGCCGACCCGAGCGCTCCACCGCGCCGCCGCTTACACAAGCGACCCGGCGCCGTATGAATGAACGGGGCCATGGTAATCACGCCGAGGAGCGGCCGCGACCGGCGGCGGCGGGCGGCGCCGCCGCACCGCCGCACCGCCCCGGCCGGGTCACCGAGGCCGGCAGCGGCCGCGCTGCGACAGTCAGCGCGTCCACACGGCCCCATCCAGCGGCCGCGCGGTGGGGTCGGGCGGACAAACGGCACGGTTGCGACAGCGCAGCGCTGCTGTTTGGATCACCGGGAGAATGATGACAGCCGTATGTGGATCAGACCATTTGCATCACCGTTGGGGCTCCTCTCTCCTATCCTGGGTACGGCTCGCAGACCAGTAAGACGACTTTACCTAGCAAGCGACGGACAAAGCGCTGGCCAGGGTGGCAAGCGATGTAATTTAGTGGGCGATGATCTCGACGCACAGACGTTAATGGCCAGAGTACGCCGCAGCAAGAGAACATTCTCATCATCGGGGGTTTGCCTGTCGTGTAAAGCAGGCTCCGGCCTGTCGCGGGGTGGGATTCAACTGATAAGTTGGAACGGGTGCTGTACGCAATGCTTGGCAGCACTGGCAGGCTGGATGCGTTGGCGGTGAGCAATATCAGGTAGTTCTGTGAGCCGGAGCAAATATTTCCAGTGGGTGCATAACCACTTTTAATTCAATGCCCGGTTCAAGTAATGTTCTCGGTGTGTACCGCCTGCTCGTTTCTGTTGCCTGCATTGGGCGTTGCGCGTTCTGATAGCGTTTACCCGTTTTACCTCGCTTGATGCCTGCATGTGTGGCTGGACTACGCCGTCGGGAAGATGAAGTAAGCAATAACGACAGCGTAGAAAGCTACTTTGTCTCTGGTGCAAGATCGCCACGATGTCACCGATAAGATTCGAGATTGGGCTCGGGTAGCAGAACGCAAAAACGTCGAGAGAAACGTCGCAATGTGCCCGTGACAGCCAGCCAAACAACGCGCGGACGCGCGAGCAAACGTTTCACGACCCACAGCGCAGTTCGCAGCCACGCACAGCGTACGCTACCATAACATCGCGTTATACGCGCTCTCTTTGCATGCGATGCACGTAACGGCGGCTTGAAAGCGGCCGGTCAGACCAGGGCCGCTGAGTCCGTTACATGCCGCCTCCTGTCTGTCGCTGCACACGCTCGCCGTCTCAATCTCCGCGTGACAGAGGAACAAGTCGGGGTGGATCCCGGCACTGCGCTCGTCCTCACGGCTCCGGGCCCGCGGGGCCGCTGCGCTCGTCCTCACGGATCCCAGCTCTGCGCTCGTCCTCACGGCTCCGGGCCCGCGGGGCCGCCGCGCTCGTCCTCACGGATCCCGACACTGCGCTCGTCCTCACGGCTCCGGGCCCGCGGGGCCGCCGCGCTCGTCCTCACGGATCCCGACACTGCGCTCGTCCTCACGGCTCCGCGCCCGCGGGGCCGCCGCGCTCGTCTTCACGGATCCCGACACTGCGCTCGTCCTCACGGCTCCGGGCCCGCGGGGCCGCCGCGCTCGTCTTCACGGATCCCGACACTGCGCTCGTCCTCACGGCTCCGGGTCCGCGGGGACGCCGCGCTCGTCTTCACAGATCCCGGCACTGCGCTCGTCCTCACGGCTCGGGGCCCGCGGGGCCGCCGCGCTCGTCTTCACAGATCCCGGCACCGCGCTCGTCCTCACGGCTCCGGGTCCGCGGGGACGCCGCGCTCGTCTTCACAGATCCCGGCACTGCGCTCGTCCTCACGGCTCGGGGCCCGCGGGGCCGCCGCGCTCGTCTTCACAGATCCCGGCACCGCGCTCGTCCTCACGGCTCCGGATCCGCGGGCCGCCGCGTTCGTCCTCACGGATCCCGGCACTGCGCTCGTCCTCACGGATCTGGGTCCGCGGGCCGCCGCGCTCGTCCTCACGGATCCCAGCTCTGCGCTCGTCCTCACGGCTCCGGGTCCGCGGGGCCGCTGCGCTCGTCCTCACAGATCCCAGTTCTGCGCTCATCCTCGCGGCTCCGGGTCCGCGGGGCCGCTGCGCTCGTCCTCACGGATCCCAGTTCTGCGCTCGTTCTCACGGCTCCTGGTCCGCGGGCCGCCGCGCTCAATTCCATCGCCTGCCCATCGCCAGGCGGTCGGCGACGGGGGGAGGTGGTCAGACGATTCCGTTGGGATCCGCTCCGACCACAGCCGGATCAGCGGCGGAGAGAAGCAGTTAATGCGGATCAGTCCGGATCGCCTCCAGCCGTCGCCGGATCAAGGGCGGTGTTGATACGGATCTGTTCGGATTAGCCATAGTTCGAGCGATTACCGCCGCCCACATCACTCCAGAGGCGCCGCGCGCGTGCTCGCGTATCCCGCATTCCAGGCCGGCGGTGGGCCGCCACACGACACCGGTTACCGACAACAACAGCCGATGCGACTGGCGTCCGAGTGAGCAGGGATGGGCACCGCGGAGTCAGCGGTGGTGACGGTCAGAGGCCCAGGTCAGGTCACCCCAGGACAGCGGTGTGAGGTCGGGCCAGACTCCGCGTGGTCAGCGGTGGTGACGGTCAGAGGCCCAGGTCAGGTCACCCCGGGACAGCGGTGTAAGGTCGGGCCAGACTCCGTGGGGTCAGCGGTGGTGACGGTCAGAGGCCCAGGTCAGGTCACCCCGGGACAGCGGTGGTAGGCCGGGCCGGCCGGGCCACGCGACACTGAGCCGAGGCCGTACCTATCGATCGTCGTATTCGCTGTCCCTACAGACCAGAGTTTACTTGGCGTTCTTCCTGATGTGTGAATGCAGACAGTACGCTACAGAGAAGACGTAACAAAGACACACCAAGGTGCATTGCACCTAGTTTTGACGTTTATTATTACGTATGTTCGTTTTGACATATGTTCCATGCCAACCTTTCTCAGCATTTCTTTCTTTCTTCAGCATTCACACATCAGGAAGAACGCCAAGTAAACTCTGGTCTGTAGGGACAGCGAATACGACGATCGATAGGTACGGCCTCGGCTCAGTGTCGCGTGGCCCGGCCGGCCCGGCCTACCACCGCTGTCCCGGGGTGACCTGACCTGGGCCTCTGACCGTCACCACCGCTGACCCCGCGGAGTCTGGCCCGGCCTACCACCATTGCCCCGGGATGACCTGACCTGGGCCTCTGACCGTCACCACCGCCGAGCCCGCGGAGTCTGACCCGGCCTCACACCGCTGTCCCGGGGTGACCTGACCTGGGCCTCTGACCGTCACCACCGCTGATCCCACGGAGTCTGGCCCGACCTTACACCGCTGTCCCGGGGTGACCTGACCTGGCCTCTGACCGTCACCACCGCTGACCACGCGGAGTCTGGCCCGACCTCACACCGCTGTCCTGGGGTGACCTGACCTGGGCCTCTGACCGTCACCACCGCTGACCCCGCGGTGCCCGTCCCTGCTCACTCGGACGCCAGTCGCATCGGCTGTTGTTGTCGGTAACCGGTGTCGTGTGGCGGCCCACCGCCGGCCTACAGAGAAGCTACAGAGAAGCTACAGAGAAGACGTGACAAAGACACACCAAGGTGCATTGCACCTAGTTTTGACGTTTATTATTACGTATGTTCGTTTTGACATATGTTCCATGCCAACCTTTCTCAGCATTTCTTGCTCTCAATGCTTTGCATCTTATTGCGGGAAGTTTGATCTGACATATTTTCCATGCCAGCCTTTCTCAGCCTTCCTTACTCTACTCATACCGTTTTGCATCGCCATTCTTGCTTCGTGATTTTCCCCCAACCTGCTTCACCTGATTCACCGCAGGGAGGCGCAAAGGTCATTCCTCACATCTTGATACCAAAAAATATGGTAAGTATAACTTAGCGAAGGAAGAGGAGGAAGCGGTAAGCGGGAAAGAAAAGGCGGGCGAGAGAAACGATAAACGGGAAAGGAGAAGCGAGTGAGAGAAAATAGAAACGAGAGGGGCAAACTGTCGCGATCAGGCTTTGCCAGAACTACCAAAACACAAGCCTAAATAAGAGCATGTCACTCGACAATGCTACCTTTATTTTGAAACCGGACAATGTCACGGATGCAGGGCATGCATCCGTTTGGACAAGAGACTCCTGTCGATGCATCAACCTGATAGAATCTCGAGATAGAATCTCGAGATACAAGACAGAATCTCGTTACAGTCGGGGAGCGGAAAGGTCCAAGCCTTGATACAATTTCTTTCTGTGCAGCGTCACATGGTAAATGGTGCATCTTACCTAAACTGATGTGGGGCAATTGTTTCCTCTGCCCCAACCTCCCCCGCAACACGCCAGCCCTTTTGGTGCAGATCGATGCGAATGGCCAATGTTCCAAACATGTCGCGCAAGTCCCTTAAAGTACGAAGAGCTGAGCGCCGCACCGATTTCGTGGTTCGGCCGGCTGGCGTGCCCATCTCCAAAACCCGTTTGCAGCCAGTGGCCGTATTTTTGCGAGATCGCATAGTGTCCTAATCCGGAAACAGTCAAGGCTGCGTTACGTTCTGCAGGGACCACAATGACATCTACGCGGTGACGTCGCATGCCCATGAACAGCAGAGTTCACATTGCTGTCCCAAATAACCAAGCATTTTTGTTTTGTCACAATGATGGCCCCTTTTTTAAAACTTGCTGACACATAATATTGAAGATAGGTGTGGATGTATCCTTCCATTCTCTTGGTACTCGGCTTTCTAGGTAAATGGTAGAGTTGTTTTTAATTACTGACATTTGTTATATCACCATATTGGAACCAGTTAGCAAATGACACGTTTGGTATAAACCCCAGTAACGAGGAATACACGCGGACTGTGCGGACCGCATTGATATACCTTGCTGAAACCTACCTCCCGAACCACAGCAGGGTAACTCCGCTGCTTGATGCCATTCTCGAAAACACTCTTCCTGTTTCTCGCGCGCGCTTCCTTGGCTAGCACTTCATCGATCTTCCGCTTCATGTAGTCACTTTCGAAGTCACTGGGCCTCAGGAGGGCCATGAGCTGCTCCGTCATAGGTCACGCGGCACCGAGTCGCCCCCGGCCGACTGTGACCTCTTCGTCCCACGACCCGACCTCTGCGGGCGACGCCACCGCGGCCTCGCCGCCGCCCACTCTCACCAGACACGCGGCGGCGGGCGCGTCTTCCTGGCGGGCCCGCTGCCCGCTCACCTGGCTGACTGCATCGCCTGTCACGGGACGTGGGCGGGCCCTGACGCAGCTGTCTGATTCTCTCCGCTGCGTGAGACAATCAGCCGTCAGTGGGAGTCACAACAGGCGCCGCTCCTCGGCCCCGCACTCAGGCGCGCCGGCGCGGAGCTGAGCCACTCGCCGCTCCGACTCCCGCCGACGGACGGGCCTCAGACGTGCGTGGGGTCCGGGTGACCAGGCGTGCACTGCAAGGCGCCGTTCCCACCCGAGCGTCGCGACGGCCGCTCGACCGGACCCAGCCACCTGCCGCCACCTGACACCTGCCGCGTGTCACCTGACACCTGCCGTGTGTCACCTGACACGTCGCGTGCAGCGGTCACCTGCGCCACCCGATCCCCCGCCTCCGCCCGCCCGTCGCCGGTGTCCCACGGTTCGCCCCGCGCGTCCGCCGTGGCCCGCGGGTTCGCGGCGACTACGGCGGTGGGTCTCAAGACGTCTCCCGGCAGCAGTCGACGGTGGCGCCCCGGCAGCACCCGCAGGCCGAGGCTCTCAGGCCGGTCCCGCGACGGTAGCGCCGCCAAGCGGCCCGCCGCGCCGCGCGGCGTTCGGACGGCCGGGGCTGTTTGTTTGAGTTGCCCTGCATCTATGGGGAGCCGGGTAACGTGCGGGGTTCCGCATGCCGGCTGCGTGCCATAAACAGGTCGTCCGTCAATAGGGCGGCGGCCCGGGCGGACAGGCTGATGAGGGAGCCGGCCGGGCTTGACCGCGTGGCCCGGCGGCTCCTCCCGCCGCTTCTCCCGCCGTCGGAAGCTGGTCTGTCGCCACCCAAGAGCTGATGCTGCCGTCACTCCTCCGGCAGCTGGAGGAGTCAGCCGTCGTCACGCGGCATCTCCTGGCTTAACCCAGGTCAGAGAAGTCAGGGAAGCTGGTCCGTATGTGAGCCAGCAAGCAAAAACTTCCAGTGATAGTTCCGAAGGGCTGATCTGATACCAGGCATTCTGTATCACTTCAGGTAGAAGTTTCTGTTTAAACGACGGATTCTGTATCTCCACAAGAGATTAGGTCGGATGGAGATCGATTGGAGCTCTAAGGATTGAATTCAACGAGCAGCTTGGAAGCTGAAGAAGACCTTAAAACGTGCACGGAAGTGCTGCCACCTTGGTATGAAAGTCACGAAAAACATCATAAGCAAATGAAGATTAATTCCCTCTTCCATTTAGCCCAAGAGCGCCCTCCACTCTCGATCATGGCGTGTACAGGCATCCACATTCCCACATGAATTACTGCAGAGCTCCTGGCTAATGTCGCTACCGCCACGCCTTGAGATGCCAGTCGCGGCTGGCTTGGCTCCTCAGGCACGCGACGGGCTCCTGACAAATCACCTGCCCGAATCTCAGCGCCATTACCAGGACGCGCAAGGCGGGCTAAGTGACACCTCAACAACGTTAACTGGGCTAGGCTTGAAGGAATCAGTAAATCAGCCAAAATAACCGCCTTCTTTCGCGGCAAGCTAGTGTAATCGAACGCTTTTGAAGCATGAAACTTCACGGTCCACTGGCTGATGAACGCGGACGGGATGGTGATGGGGAGAGCAGGGGAGGGGAGGGGGAGCAGGGAGCCGTAATTCGCACTGAGACCATCATGCACTGCTAACGCTGTGAGCTAGCACCGGCTGATAGCGGCGTGACTGGCGTCCGGCGCCGGCGCGCCGACGTCACTGTATATTTGCGCCGCAGGAAGACCGATCACCTGCGAGGGGGGAGGGGGGGGGGGGGTATGATGATCGGAGCCAGTCGAGCCGCACAGGCCGCGCTTCATTCACCCGGGCGGAATGCACGCTCGGCGTGTAAACAGACCGACACGCGCCTTCAGTCGGCAGATACCCGCGCGAGAGGAGCGCTGCTGGTGTGATACGGTGTGCTCCACGCCGCGGCTGTGTGACCCTCACCTCGGCAGCAGCGGGGGCGGTAGTCTGCCCGCCGGTCACCCACCGGTCACCTGTCGGTCACCCGTTGGTCACCCGCCGGTGACCCGCCGATCACCCGCCGGTCACCCGCCGGTCACCAGCCGGTCATCCACCGGTCTCCCGTCGGTTACCCGCCGGTCACCCGCCGGCCATCTACCGGTCTCCCGTCGGTCACCCGCCGGTCACCCGCCGGTCACCCACCGTACACGCACCGGACCTAGGCAGGATGAGGGCGGAGGCAAGGAAGGCGAGCCTGTCAGCCGCTACCGTCAGATGCGAAGCCGATAGCATGCTAAATGGTATGTCAAGATTGCGAACAGCCGCAGCCGAATTCCTCACGTAAAACGATCAGCGGGCGTCTGCCGCCTGCATGTCACTCGGCGACGGATGGGCGAGCACGGTGCGATAGGCGTGCAGCAGCGGCGCGCGGCCGCGCCGGCACTGCACGATGGACCGCGTGCCGGCGCCGTGCAGCCTTCTCGCCGGGGCGCGGTGCACGGCCGGTGGACGGCTCCACTGGCGGCTGCGTCCGCGCAGGGCTGGCGACATCTGTTCCGGAGATACCGGAGCCCCGGCGGCACAAGCCTGCTCCTGTTCTGTAAGCCGCCATATCGGCATCAGGCGGCGGCGCCCGCTCCGGAGTCGTTCTGTGCGGACGTCGGACGACTGGTGTCCGCCCTCGAGCCACTGTACCGACTTCGGATGAGTGACGTCTGGTCCATGATTCCCCATATCGGCATTAGACGACCGCGATCTGTTCCAGAGCTTTCTCACAGTGATATCAGACGGGGCCGGCGAGTGAGAGGGGGGGGGGGGGGGAAGCAGCAGCAGTGCCCTCAGCTTGGAAAAGGCAGCCTTAATCCATGGTGTTACATGGAAAAGGCGACCTTGGTCCCCCCGCCCAACCCCCCAACTCAAATGAGGTTTCATCGCTACTGCATCAGTCGACAGATGTCCGCTCCCAAGTCTCCGTACCGCTACTGGCGTTAGACTGTGTATAGCCTCCCCAGTGCGTCGACTGCCAGATCATGGACTCTGCCACCGAGCTGCGAGACCGTCTTCGTCCAGGCAGAATCCCTTCCCTGAGCCATTTGCAGGCGCCACACGAACAATACTCTCTTCCCAGCTCAGGCCAGGCGAAGCTTTCGGACGAACACACGCCAGATGCGCACCGAGGCAATGAAAATGGCTCAACCAACGGCCGACCCCTGCGACTGACGTGCTTATGCCGGGCCCGTGCGTCGTGACTGGCGGGCAGCTGCCATCTGGCATACAGAACGGCAAGGTCTGGCACCGACGAAATGTGAAGCACACGGTCAGCGATTGCTCGGATGGAAACGGTCATGGCGCCCGGACCACGGTTCGGTACCGCGGACGTACCGACCGGCAGCCCGGTATCACAGAGGTACCGGCCGGCAGCCCGGCACCACAGAGGTACCGACCGGCAGCCCGGTATCACAGAAGTACCGGCCGGCGGCCCGGTATCACAGAGGTACCGGCCGGCAGCCCGGCACCACAGAGGCACCGGCCGGCAGCCCGGCACCACAGAGGTACCGACCGGCGGCCTGACACAGCGTAGATCGCCGGCCCACGCCCGCACCGAACACCGCCAGGTCGACAGCAGCTCGTTCATCTGCAGGCCGCGCTCGCGCCTTTTTGCGGCTCGGCTGGTCGTGTTGAGCGTGTGCAGGGCGCGCCGTCCCACAGTGACCCGTGCAGCGGCCGCCCGCCGCCCGCAGCAGAGGCCGGCATCGCGCCGCCGGCAGCAGCGCCGCTTTTTTGCGTGTCGTCGTCACGCAGCAGCCGCCCTTCCGATAGCAGGCGGAGAAAGTCGCCGCCGTCGCACCGCGCGCCGGTTGAGCAACCAATTGTGGGACGCTGCGTTATCACGACAGACCGGTGCGGCCGTCACGGGCCGGCGCCGCTGGCGGGAGGCTGCCCGGCGCCTGGCGTGTGACGGGATGACGCGGTATCCTGCGAATCCTGACCGCCGTGGCAGCTGGATGGGAGAGGGCAGCGGGCAGGACTGCAGGGAGAGGTACAGCAGCGGGCACGACTGCAGGGAGAGGTACAGCAGTGGGCACGACTGCAGGGAGAGGTACAGCAGTGGGCACGACTGCAGCGAGAGGTACAGCAGTGGGCACGACTGCAGCGAGAGGTACAGCAGTGGGCACGACTGCAGGGAGAGGTGCAGCAGCGGGCACGACTGCAGCGAGAGGTACAGCAGTGGGCACGACTGCAGCGAGAGGTACAGCAGTGGGCACGACTGCAGGGAGAGATACAGCAGCAGGCACGGCTGTAGGGAGGGGTATAGCAGAGGGCGGGACTGCAAGAAGGGGGAAAGCAGCGGGCGGGGCCGCAAGGAGGGGGATAGCGGCGGGCGGGACCGCAAGGAAGAGGAAAGCATCGGACAGGCGCTTTTACCGTCTCGTATGGTTTTGTGTTCGCGTTTGTGTGAGAGTTTTAGGCAAGGTTATAAAAACCTGCGCTGTAAGCCCAGCCCCTTGGTGTCTTCTTTCCGTTTGATCCAGAAGTGGACATCCCTGCTCAGCTACAGCGCATTCATACGACAGGCATCAGACAACAAAAAGTTGATCTTAAAAGGGGATCTTAAATTAACGACAACGACCGACAAGAACCCAGGTGTAGGCAACGTTAGGCTATACCAGCGTTCCTTTCCGCTAAAAGCCAGTTTTTCATGTCACATTCTGCTCAATGGCATCCTCACTTACATTCATCAGAACATATTCATGTCGACATAAAACTGATCTCAGCCGCCGTAACACAGATGATTTAGAGGCTCTCTCATATCTACACGCCTGCTACGGGGCAACGGCATCGCCGATTTCTAAGCGGGGAAAAGTCTCACTGCACTACACAAGGCTCTTGTGCCAAAGAATGCTGATTGTGCAATGCGCAACCCACCCTGCTTTTTCGAGAGTGAAGGGCCAAGAAAAAACATGCAACACTGAGGCGCTGACACGGGCAGACACAACGGCCCGTGACCACTGGCCGGCGCGGTCTCGGGGTGGCGGACCTACTCACCTGGTCTGCGCCCGGGCCAGATTTGACGAAGGCGGCCGACCCCAGGTCCAGTTGCAGCGGGTCACATGAAAGACAGATGGGCAGCGCTGAGGCCGAGCTGAGTTTGGGGCGGCGGCGGCGCGCCTGGGCCGGCGGCAGCGGCGGCAGGCCGGGCAGCATGACAGGCGGGGCCGGCGGCCGAGGGCCGGGTCCTCAGGCAGGCCGCTGCTGACCACTGCCGGCGGCGGCTGGCCGCCAGCGTGCTGGTCGGCCCAGGCCACCGGACACCGCCGGCCATTATGTACGCCCCCCGGCCGCACGCCGCCCGACAGGCTTTCAGGATCGCTGGTTTGGTTGGTTTTCAGGATCGGGGAGAGTATATACAGAGTGAGGGGGGAGAGTGTCGGGGACTGAGAAGGGGCAGAAGATGGAGCAAGAGAGATGAGAGGATAGCGATAGAGGGAGGACATATAACAACATATGTATATTTATATATAATCCCCCCCCCCCCCAATCCTTACCTATATCCCCCCCTCTATCATACTATATTATCATTATATCTCTATATCTATCCCCTCTCTCTCTCTCTCTCTCTCTCTCTCTCTCCTCTCTCTCTCGTCCTCTCCTCCCCTCTTCATCTCCTCTCTCTCTCTCTTCCCTCTCTCTCTCTCCTCCTCCTCTCTCTCCTCTCTCTCTCGCTCTTTCCTCTCTCTCCTCTCCTCTCTCTCTCTTCCTCTCTCTCTCTCTCTTCCTTCCTCCTCTCTCTCTCTCTCTCCTCTCTCTCTCTCTCTCTGTTAGAGGACTGCTGGAGGAAGGAATACAACCGCCCAGATTTCACCATGATGGGGCACCAAACTAAACCAACTTCTTATGCTTGTGACTCGTAAATCTAGATATTCGTGTGGTCCGCAACACAAAACGAGCCCTTATGCCGCTTATATTCAGTCATGTTCGTTGTCTGGGCGAAGTGGGACGGAGCAGCGGCGGACCTCTGCCTGGAGACGGGTCTAATCCCGCGGACCATCTCAACGGTTGCAAAACACGTACATCATACTTGACACTTGAAATGGGGCGGCACCTTGTATAGCAGCTGTAACAAAGTAACAGCGACTCAGAACCCTCTCGATTAAATCAGGAAATGAGAGACAGCCGCAAGATTGTGAAACGGCTCTTACCTTTGCAAATGCAACGTCATCGGGGTGTTTACTCGCCTTTGAGTCCTTGGAGTTTTGATATTACCATAACTGATATTACCATAACCACAGCAGGGAGGAGCCCGTACCCATGAGCCGCTTAGGCGCCCCATAAGACGGACCTAGCACGCTGCAGCCTGTCGGATTCCTCTGGGTTGTTGGGGGATGGGTGTTTGGCTGTCTTCCATGACGTGCCAAATACGGGTAAAGTCATTTTAAATTAATTGTAATCACATTATCGATGCTCTCGTCAGCAGTACGGCAATCTGGTTTTCAATCTGTTTCGGAAGGGTGGATTGCAGGCTCTAATGTAATCCCATTCGCGATTTGTTTACCGTAGCGAATGAGGGTTATCTAAATGATTGGTACAGAACGATAAATGACGGTACGTGGTACTGTGATGCGCACGTGATACATGACAGATGACGGCACGTGGCGTGTTACTGTGATGCGCACGTGATACATGATAGGTGACGGTACTTGTGTGTTGCTGCGATGCGCACGTGATACATGATAGATGACGGTATGTGGTGTGTTACTGTGATGCGCACATGATGCATGATAGATGACGGTACTTGACGTGTTACCGTGATGCGCACGTGATGCATGATTGATGATAGTGTGTGGTGTGTTACTGTGATGCGCACGTGATGCATGATAGATGACGGTACGTAGCGTGTTACTGTGATACGCACATGATACATGATAGATGACGGTACGTGGCGTGTCACTGTGATGCACACGAGATACATGATAGATGGCGGTACTTGTCGTGTTACTGTGATGCGTACGTGGTACATGATAGATGATGGTTACGTGGGAGCGTTACCATGATGCGCACGTGATACATCATGCGTGGTACTTGGGGTTTTACTGCAGTTCCCATGCGTTGCATGATAGAGGATGGCACGTGGGGCGTTACTGTGATGCGCACGCGATATATCATAGAGGATGGGACGTGGGGTTTTACTGTAATTCGCATGTGATACATGATAGAGGATGGCACGTGAGACATTACGATGCTGCGTACGCGATATATGATAGATGGCGATGCATGGCTCAATCAGTGGCTGGTATTTGCCGTTATGTTGTCACCTATGTATATAAAGACCATTTTTTGGTATGCATATAAACAGCAGAAAGTTGTCTTCCGGCTGCCTAACTCACTAAACCATTGTCAAAGGATATTTTACAGACCCGAGTTCTACAGATACGGAACCAGACCGTAATACCGAGTGCGCAGACCCAGACTGTACAGCCGAGTACGCAGACCCAGACTGTGCGGTCGAGTGTACAGACCAAGAATGCGCAGCCGGGTGTGCAGACTCAGACTTACAGTTTAGTGTGTGCAGACCCAGACTGTGCAGATGAGTGTACAGACCTAGACTGTATTGTCGGGTGTGCGGACCCAGACTGTGCAGCCGTGTGCACAGACCCAGACTGTGCAACCGAGTGTGCAGACCCAGAATTTACAGACTGGTGTGCAGACCCATCAGCTGAGTGTGCACACCTAGACTGTACAGACGAGTGTGCAGACCCAGACTGCATTGCCGAGTATGCAGACCCAGACTGTACAGACTAGTGTGCAGACCCAGACTGTATTGCCGAGTGTGCAAACCCAGACTGTATTGCCGAGTGTGCAGACCCGGGCTCTACAACCGAGTACGCAGCGTCGAGCCGCTGACCGGCCGCGCTGACCGACACTGGCCGAGGAGCGACCCGGGCTGGACCGGTGACGCCACCGCCTGAGGTGCTCTCCCCGCTGTCACACTCACCCATGCTTGTTGTGATGTCGCGGTCGTTCACACCACGCACGCGTCCACTGGCGGGCAGCAGTGATGGCGGCAGCGGGCAGCGGCGGCGGCGGCAGCGGCGGCGGCGGCGGCGGCGGCGGCTGGGATCGATACCCGGGCGGGGTTTCTGCCGTGCCCTCCCCTCCCCTCCAGCGTCGGCAGGCTCGGCGGCGAGCCGACCCTCCGTGACCAGCTGGCGGGCGGCGAGGTGTGTGCGGTTCGGCCGCGCGCGCGGCTGGCACGTGCGATAGTGGCCGTGGATAGTGGGGCCGCGACGCGTGAAATGCCGCGCAAACAGCGATACAGCAGGCCTGCCGTCGCCTTGCTGCACGTTGCCAATTCGGAACTGTATGGTTAGGCGATGTGCGGGGGGGGGGGGGATGGAGGCTGCTGACGTGTTGAGCAGCGCGGGGGGCATGCAAATTGTGTTGAGCAGCGGCGCTCGTTACTGGGCATGCAAATGCGAGTCCATATGGCAAACGTGTAAAGTTGGGAGCATCCGCCAATCCGGATTGTTTCGGAATTCGGACATTCATCCGGAATGTTTCGGAATCGGTCTTTGCTGACCTGGTGTGTTGGTACGAAATCATAGTCCATTTATTTTTCGTCTGGGAGTTGCGGTATACACTAGTTCATTTCGACGTTTTGAGCACTAACCTATGCATGGACCAACGGAGGAATCCGGGATTGTGGCTTTGAAGAACTCAACTGGAAACAGTCAATATAGGGCGTATGCAAACGCAAGGAGATTTGTCAGTGGAACCACTGAAGTATCTCTAGTGTTCCGTACAAACAACGATGCAACAGTCCCGCTGTCGGCTCGCTGCACATTGCCAATCTAGAACCGCGCGGTCTATTTTCCCGTCTAATCAGTTTTAGACGTTGGCAAATGCGGTGCGCTTTTCTAATAAACATCGATTGTACTTTTCCAATAAGGCTCTCCATACAAACTCTTACCGTCTGGCATTGCGGAAATTTGTATTTTAATCAGATTCCAGCGCACCACACTACGTCCTCTGAGCTAGCGGACAGAATTGACGGTTAATCGCGGCTAATTTTGCTGACACACCGTGCCGCGGGTCCAGCAAATAACTGAAACAATCGCTTATCAACTCTAATCATGGGTCAGGCCTCCCGCTCGATCAGTGGTCTCCCTGCAGTGAGATGACTTAGAAATACGATACAAAGCGCCATCGATGAAGTCATTACTATTATAAGCCAGTCGATATCACGAATCACGGGTCGCCCATACCGCCACTGCCGACGGCCGTCGCATTGACCAGTTCTTGGCTCAGTCAACAGGTGGCACCACCAACTGGTGGGGCTTGAAGTTACCCAGCCGCAACTCCACTCAGCAAGCGCTGGGAGTCGTCTGCGCGCGCGCGCCACCGTCGGCACGACGGGAAAATCAATAGCGCCCTAGTGGCACAGCTGCGCGCGCGATCCGCGAGCGAGGGGAGCCGAGGCCAGTGGGAGAGTGACATGTCGACGGCGCGCCGCTTCTTGTGACCGCCGTGACCTTAGGCGACCCGACCATGCGACAGCCACCGGCGTGGGCCGGCCTCTGCGCGCTGGCGCTCCTGCTGCCGACCTGGGGCAGCGATGTGCCGCATTCCATGTGAGTTGGGCGGGTGCGGCGTGCCGGCCGGCCGGCCGTGGCTCGCAGCTGGGCGGCGCCGGGTAACCGGTCTGACCACTGTCCCCCCCCCCCCCCCCGGCACTGCTCAGGACCGTGGCCGTGACACAACGCTCAGATCACCGGCGGCTTGTGGCTTATCTCAGAGGCGGCGGCTCTCCGACCACTGTCGGCGGGCACTGTCAACGCTCGCTCTCAGGGACGCTGTGCTGACCTTTGACTGTGCGGCAGTCATGTCAGATCAGCGTCCCGTGTCGTGGTGGCCGGTGTAGAATTCCTGTGTTCACGTGGACGGAATCTGTACGTGTCGGTACTTCCATTTTCTGAACATAGTCGGCAGTAGAACATTCGAATTATAAAGAAATAGGGCGAAGCCAATAAAATTAAGCCATGTTTCTTCGTAAGGCATAGATGAATTGGGATGCGGCAAAGAAGATTTACGGCCCCAACAAACTCAGTGAACCTGAATTTTTCCCATTTTGTATCGGCTTGTGGGACCATAACGTGACGCGTACTTCGCCCATTTCCTGTGCGGCCGTGTGCCTGCTGTCCCTATCCGCTGCCGAGGCCGAGCTCTGGTCAATGCTGGCCGGCGTCTGCTGTCGGAGGCTGAGAGCTGCGCTGTTCATTGCTGTCAGAGACACGGTCCTTACCGCCGGCTGACGACATCTTCTGTCAGAGGCAGGACTTGACCTCCGATAACTGTCCGCCGCGCTGTCAGGCGCAGCAGCACCTGGTCCCTGGCGGCCAGCTCCTGGCCATCACGGTTCCTGATCCCCAGACCCGTCGGAGACCAGGCCCTCAGGCCCTCTGAGAACAGCACTGACCTGATGGGCAGTTAGTGCATCTCCTGGCGCAATGTCGTGTCCGTAGCTAGCGCACAGAGCCAAGGACAGTCCGTGCTTGGCTCGTTTCGCAGTGTATAAATAAATGGGCTGAGGTACTGGTCACCGTCTCCTTCCAGGCCGGTTCGGCTTTCATACCAGACCTTCAGATATAGGTCTTGTCAGAGCCAGGGATACAATTTTATCGAAGTGTGACTTCACGTTGAAATTCTCTACCACTGGCAATCGATGTTGTGTTTTCTCACACGGCTATCTGAACTGGCAGCACAGATGCCCGCTGTAGGGTCTTTATCAGCAATTTTCACTGCCGCATTCTCATTCGCAGCGGATTCCACTGGCGCACCCTGTCGTAATGATTTAACTGCGATGCGCGCCGCCGTTACCTCGCCATTGCGGCAGCAACCGCGGCCCAGAACCTCTCTCACCACGGCTGGCGGTGGCTCGACTGTTTCGCCTTCCTGGCGTCGTTCCTCGACTGCTGTGCTTCCCGGCGTTTCCCCACTATCGTGCTTTCCTGGCGTCGTTCTCCGACTGCCGCGTCTCCCCGCTGTCGTTTCCCGAGGCGTGCTTCTCCGGCGTCGTTCCCCGACTGCCGTGCTTCCCGGCCGTCGTTCCGCGACTGCCGTGCTTCCCTGGCGTTTCCCGACTATCGTGCTTCCCTGGCGTTGTTCCCCGACTGCCGTGCTTTCTCGGCGTTTCCCGACTATCGTGCTTCCCCGGCGTCGTTCCCCGACCACCGCGTTTCCCCGGCGTCGTTCTCCGACTGCCGTGCTTCCCCGGCGTTTCCCGACTATCTTGCTTACCCGGCGCTCTCCGACTGCCGTGCTTCCCCGGCGTCGTTTCCCGACTCCCGTGCCTCCCCGGCGTCGTTTCTAGACTATCGGGCTTCCCTGGTGTCGTTCCCCGATTGCCGTGCTTCCCTGGCATTGTTCCCCGACTGCTGCGCCTCCCCGGCGTCGTTCCCTGACTACCGCGCTTCCCCGGCGTTGTTTCCCGACTGCCGTGCCCCTCCGGCGTGGTTCTCCGGCTGCCGTGCTTCCCCGGCGTCGTTCCCCGATTGCTGTGCCTTCTTCGGTCGTTGTTCCCCGACTGCCGTACCTCCCCAGCGTCGTTTCCCGACTGCTACGCCTCCCTGGCATCGTTCCGTGACTACCGCGCTTCCCTAGCGTCGTTCCCCGACTGCCGTGCTTCCCCGGCCATCGTTCCTCCACTGTCGTGCTTCCCCGGCCGTCGTCGAGTGGCCGGCGCTGGCGTGGGCCGAGCCAGCAGCGCTGGCCGTCGTCCGGTCGGCCGCGCTGGCACGGCAGCGGCACAAGGCCAGTCGCGCCAGCTGTCACCGGCCGGGGCCCGAGCCACGGCACGACCACGGACTGCGGGCCGCCGTGCGAGCTACGGCAGACGCCGACAGGGGACGGGGCGGCGCCCGCGGAGCGAGCTGGGAGGCGGGGCCAGGGATGAGAGAGGCAGATAGGATATTGAAGGACAAAAAGTGGGCACAGGCGATCGTTTTAAACAGAATTGAAATTTAAAAGGGGACGACAGAAAGAGACAGACAGATTCAACCTCCAGCATTGAAAACGTTAGTTTAATTATGGCTCAGTAGATCAAAAGATATTCATAGCAGCCTCAGCAAATCAGATTCCGCGCACACTGGCACACGTGGGCAGCAGAAGACTGGAAGCTGTGAAGCGTGATGCACTCAGTCACTCCAGAAAAATAGTGAGGCTAACATATCTCCACATGCAGCGAAAAATGCATCGGCTTATAACACGCATCACCTCCCGCCAATTCGGAGATGGCTCGAGAACGCAGCGCATCATGAATGCATTCAGCTTAAGGGAAACGACGCAGAGCAAATACACCGATTTCGGTTGGAAGAAGAAAACACCCAACGACGGCTGACTTGGCGGCATCGAACGCCTGAACTTGAAAGAAATTACTCCGTTTGTGAGTTAAATAGATAATTTCAGCTCCTAGCTGTGAGTGCAGCGTTACCTGCTTCCGTGGGAATTCCCTAATGGCCATGCAATTCCGTCGGAGATCAATCAAAACCTTATAAAACAAAACAGAAACTTTACACGCATCTAGGAGCTAACCATGCCATGGTTTCAAATTTGCGTGCACTCACTCCTTGTTTCGTAAGTTGGTTGGCTTAGGCAATGTTGTAGCCGCTTATTTTAACCATATTGGCTTCATCAATCCAATAGCATCTTTGTGTTGAGAAGATTGGTGAAATTTAGATAGTACCATTAGCTATATGTACCTAACAAATTTTAAGAATGTCTGCGACCACTGTTAAGCCCCCGCACGCAACCGTCATTCATAGTTTTCTCTACGATGATCGCTTAAAGTAGCTATTAACTATGCATGGGCCGACTTTATCGCGGGGCATATACGACAGGCATTCCGAGCAGTTTCCGGGTGCGTGCCTAGCGTTGTTGCAAGATACAGGCCCCCTCCGGTTTAAACCGGTTGAACCCTCGCTGTTCTTTCAGGGATTGTTTCTGTCCCATCGCTATCAGAACATATTAGCCACAGGACAGCATGGCTGGCAGTTTGTGCGTGCCGCAAACATTCGCTGAAGGACAGTATCTGTATATGGCGAATTGTGCCGAAAGTACTGGGCACACAAATGTGTGGAGCAGACAATCATCATTCAGTACCTTCGTGCATTGTGTCCCTGACAGGTGTCAGCTATCTCCATTACATCATATAACGGCAACGGTCCGATGACAACATGCCCACTGTCTTTCTAGCGTAGTACGTCCAGTTACCTAGTCAAAAATGTTGGGAAGCACTTGGAGGGGTGACGAGCTTCAAGCAATGACGAATGTTTACCATCACGCCTGTCATATCATGCAAACGGGTATTTTATCAGCCGCATGTGTAAGTATGCCGCGCGTCGTGCGGCGAAGGCGATGTCAGCCATCCATGCACGCGACCCATGACGATCCGTTTTGCGACGTCATCGCAGCTGAACGATGCGGTTCGGCATCCCTCCATCTTAAATGCTTGGGCGCTCGGTCTTCACTGGCTGACGCTTTTTGTCCGGTGGGCCTGTCGAAAATATCACAGTGAAAACAATCAACAGTCTGATGGATGCTTTCGAGGGTACGCGGCACGCTGATACCTTCGAGGGGACCGCCAGGTATCGCGTCACCTTCAACCCGCGGCGGCGGCAGCGGCGGGGCTCGGAGCGGTTCGGCCAGCCCTGGTCACCGTCGGTGGCCCGGCCGACCCCGGTCACCGCCTGTGGCTCGGCCGACCTCGGTCACCACCGGTGGCTCGGCCGACCCCGGTCACCGCCGGTGGCTCGACCGACCCCGGTCACCGCCGGTGGCTCGGCCGACCCCGGTCACCGCCGGTGGCTCGGCCGACCCCGGTCACCGCCGGTGGCTCGGCCGACCCCGGTCACCGCCGGTGGCTCGGCCGACCCCGGTCACCGTCGGTGGCTCGGCCGACCTCGGTCACCACCGGTGGCTCGGCCGACCCCGGTCACCGCCGGCGGCTCGGCCGACCCCGGTCACCACCGGTGGCTCGGCCGACCCCGGTCACCGCCGGTGGCTCGGCCGACCTCGGTCACCACCGGTGGCTCGGCCGACCCTGGTCACCACCGACGGCTCGGCCAGCCCCGGTCACCACCGGCTGGGGAGGGGAGGGCGAGCTGGTCCGGTCCGCCCGTCATCTCGCCGGCGGTAGATCGGCATCGATCTGACCGGCGGCGCGGCGGCCAGCCGGCGCCGCCAAACGAGCAGCGAGGCTCAGCTCCGTGCCGGCCGCCGTCCGACGACAAGCCGAGTGGCCGCCGCCGCTCGGCGTCGCGACAACGGAAGTATGGGCGGCGGGCGGCGTCCAGGTCCTGGGCCGGGTTGGTGTTGGCACGGGCGTAAAACATAGGTCGTGATACGATGCACTGCCAACGTCACCTCGCTGTGCGATGGTAGCTGCCAAATTGTTGCGAGATCGTCGTCAAAATGGCCGTGTCAACAAGACCAACAGAGAAAAAGAGATGATGATATGTATATCTGAGGGAACTAGTCTAGGGAGGCAGGCGGGGTGACTTCAGACACTTTAAACATAGCCAACCATACGGAGAGTGAAAAGTGCGCTGTGATGTGCAGGGTGGTGCACATATGT